GACAAAATATCATACAAATTTAGAGTACAATCGTCAAACCCCACTAGTGCGCCGAAAGTACCCCACTAACTGAATAACAACAAAATAAACGAATTTTAATATTAATAGGAGACGCAAAATAAGTATTGGAGACGACAAGTATATTTTGCTAGTTATTATAGAATATCTACACGAAAACTTATTTTATCTACGGTAAAAGAGACAAAAACAGACAAAAAACAACGAAGCGAAAACACTACTGTAATTTACCTCATCGGTGGATCGCGAAACTCGGGAGTATATTGACTGACCATGCACACAACAAAAAAGATATTGTTTCGTACAAGTTTTATTTTGATTATGATGCCCGTAGAGGGAAACTCCCTATATTTTTCAATTAAACATGCTTACAACTTCAATTACTTTAAAATTCACCAAATCGGGACAATACATTATTTTGAACCAAAAACCTGCATTTTGTGAATAGCCTGTATGTAGGACAAGTGAATTGGGCTAACGGTACATCCTAGGTCTGCTAACACAGCTTTTCAATTTACACAAAAGCCGAATCCAGGGTAATTTATTCGGGACGGACGTGTCGTCTGATTCGTAACTTGCAGTTCAACTTAAACTTGATTTCGTCAATTGTCAATGTTGAATATGTCAGTAATATTTAAAAATACATTTTCAATTTCAATACAACTAATAAAGATATTAAAAACAGATTATAAATACAGAATCAAATCGAGGTAACAACAGGAGGAGATGCAGATGGTCTCTTTTGAATAGTCATATATTTCATCGTCGTTTATTATGCTAAAAAAAATCATTACATGCCAAAGTTGTTAAAAAGAAAAGTTAAGTTATTCCAAATTCAAATAACTACTTTAGCTTTTTTACCACATACCACACTATTAAAAAGTTCACAGCTTATATTCATTATTAGTTTTTGTAATTATAATGTCGCTGATCAAAAAATATGACATATCTGATCTATGCCGCGTTACGATGCTTCAAAAAATAATAAAACATTGTAAAGCAAAATTTCAATACGCTTCAATAGTACTCAGTATTTTTATATTTTATGGATGGCACTTTTATAGTCTTGCAACAAAAATATATCTGGTTCCAGACAGGCGACGCTATAAACTAGCTTTTATAGTTTGAGCAGATGAATTTAGTATTATCATTAATGGCAGATTATATTTTCATGTGTCTCATGTATTTGTACAAATAAAATACATTTATTAAAATAAATTTAATTCCAAAGACCAAATTATATCTTATAAATAGGTAAAAACATCAATTAAATTTTTACACACTATTACTACCCTTTTTCACTAACTAGTTACTATGACTTAATTACTCCCGTTTATGCATCTTTGGGTTTAAATAGCCAGTTTTAAGATTTAAATTTCGGATCTTATTTTAGCTCAGTTGCTGCAACCCTTTGAAAAGTTGGTATTTTGTTTTATTTACATGTAAACAAGGCAAAATGCTGTATATCACGGTACATAGGGCTCCGGCTGAGTCGGCTGGCTGTAAATCTAATGGTGCAGCGCATTGTGAATGCAGCGCGGCAGCCTACACGGAACTATATAAAGCTGTTGGTTTAAAAACACAAATTTCTTTTAAATTCAGTTCAGTTATCAACTAAGCTTCAGCAGAAATTATATTTAAGTCACGTCGATTGATTCTCCAATTAGTACTGATTTAATTGGATTACAGTAATCGGTATAGGGTAATGAGTTGCTTCACTTGCAAAAATCGCTAAAAATTCGTTTAAGTAAAAATTAAAGTAAACTTAAATGTAACCTCGCGGCCGGCTCTGCCTCGGCAGCTTATTGATATTAAGACTTGCCATTTTTCGACGTATTTTTTTTCTGCAAAAGTGTATTTTTACTTATAGGTATTATATAGTTTTACCTCACACTGAAGAGACATTATTATAGACTAAATCTTGTATGAAGTATCTTGGAATCAATTGGTACGTGTATGTCCTCATGTTGTGAAACGGTGTGTACAGGCACAAGTGAACCTCATACTATAATGCGATGTCAGACACGATCGTACTATCACTGGAAAAATACCGACAAATTAGCCGCACGGGGATTAGCCGCGACGAAGTTGTTTATACATTTTACTGTTTCACTTATGTTGTAATTATATCATGTAAAATATACCTAAATAAAATTTAACGACAGCTCTATAGTTATCCCACCAAAAATTCTATTTGGCGAGGCACAGTAAGAGTATGCCGGAGATTCGGGTTGTGCCTCTTATATTATGTAAATTACGATGTTCACCGAATTCTAAGTAAATAACTATCACTTTGATCCAAGCAATTAATTTTATAACCGTGCGCCATTTTGCTGAAGCACACTCTATTTATGTGGTGATAAAATTTTAATCACAAATTGCATATTGCGGGATAACTCCATTGTTTATATGCCTTTTTAATTAGAAATGTGTTTTATGTTGACGCTTTTAAGGTATATAATTATGTAACAAAATGAATTTTATTGTCAGCTGAAATCCTCTTGAAATAAGAATGTTAACCGCCGTACTCGGAATCTAGTGTTACTTAAAGGTTACCTAAGCTTTTCCTTACGGGTTTTATAAAGTTTATTGAAGATCCAATGGAAAGCTAAACAAGCTCCTTCATATACAATACAATACAACCTACACCAAACTTGAAGGTCAATCGAATACGTGTCGATCAAAGTCTCATTGCATTATTCATAGTTATGCAAAAAGGTCTTATAAGTAAATATGAGTATGAGTAAAGATTGCGTGGTTTTGGCAACACATTGGGGAGCGTCGCTCGATAGGAACGCGACGTCATGTCGCCATGGTACAGTCGCGTAGGCAATTTTTGTTAATTTTCCTCTTCTATAATTTTATCAACTATCACGCTATTTTATTACCTATACATAATTTCAATAAAATTTGAATTTTTATTTTGCCTTAAAAAGCTCTTAATGTTTAAACAGATCCCGCTTAACACTATATTTAGTAGATATTTTAGAGGTACAATCAATAGCAATAAATTTTTATAGACAATTTAATAGGGTTTTCTTTTAAATTTAACTTTAAAATTATACTAAAAATTGGCAAGGAACAAACGAATGTTACGAGTATAACTATAATTATCTTTACGAAGAAAGCTAATAAATGCTTCTAATGGAAATGAATTTAAGAGTAAACTAGAATCAAATAAGGGGAAATAATAATCATAATTAACAAGATCACACATGAAAACTAAAATAAAATAAATCCACATTATAATTATAATAATTAGCAATTGGAGAAAGTAGACATTAAATTACATATTTGAATAAAATAAATTTACGTTTTCAGCGCGACTATACCAACATCGCGTTTCCTTGAACGGATTTTCTGCTTTATAAAGGTTTTTTAGGGCATTTTATTTTGGCGCGACTTCGCTTACATTACTAAATTGTCTTTAGTTTCAAACTTCGGTTGAAGCAACTAGAACAATGTAAATTGGAACTGTTTCGTAATACTTTGAAACTTTTAACTTATGAAAGATATTTATTGGTCTTCTACGGTGGCACTGGAACCTACACTCTGTAATAGCATGATTTATGTGGGGCCAAAATATATGTTTTATTTATTAAGTCGATGGCAAAATTATTGGTATATTCATGGGAATCTATGATGAACTGTCAAGAAACTCAGTAAGGCGAACAATAAATATTAATAAAAATTGAATTATACATTTAAACTAGTGCGGAATGAAGCCATATCTTTAGTATAATGATTACTGAATGATTGTGATTTACGGATCTTACGGACACTTATAATTCAAGTCAAATCTATTGTATAATAAATTTATTTATTACATCAATAATAAATCTGTTGTCATAATAGTACACTGTATTAAAAAATATGAAGCACAAAGCAGTCACAGTACATGAACCTGATGCTTTTATTATATTTTGTTAGATACATATATGGACTTTATAAAAATGGTGTCACATAAACTGGTTTTTGTGTCCACCAGATCTCCATTAGTCACAGAGATAACAGAGTATTTCTTTTATCAATCATTAGATCAAATCCAGTTAAATAATTTTTTAAATGTTGTTATTTTCTTTTATTTTCATCACATGTTTAAGTTGTGAACTTGACTTGGATAGTAATTTTCGGTGCCACGGCAAATATATGACTCAATGCGAATTATTCTCACATGCACTATCTAAAATTTTTTGTCCATTAACACATAAGTTCAATAATTAGTTCAAAATATAAATGGCGCCAAAGTAACGCATTGGCCGTAACAATATCACAGTGTATGCAAATTGCAAAGTGGCAGACTGACACTCCATTGTATATTTTTACATGTTTTTTGACTTAGTATTGTCTTTGATTAACATAACTTTTATTCATTTAATAAAACACTATTTTGACCGGATTGAAGTTATGTATTATTATAAATTTACAACTATTTAACATAATTTTAAATTTATCCGAAACGTCGGATTTTGACAGAGATGGCGCCCCTTGTCAATTAACCGTTCCCCTAGAAATTGATGAGGATACAGTATCTATTATGTTTATTAAATAAGCCCGGAGATTTTTAAAATAAATTATATATTATAAACTTAATTCTTTTTACGGTTTTGTTTTGTAATTTATAGAGGTCAGGTGTAAAAAAAATATTTCCACGACATCTGTTGCACTAAATACTAACGATTACAAATACTAAATTTACCATTATTCATTTATAACTAGAAATAATAACCCTAATATAAAGTAATTATTATAGTAAGCGATAAAACCTTTCAAAAATACTATTTACTTATGTTTTAAAAATAACAATCACACACTCCACATTGGTTGATAAAGAATATCTCTGTTGTCTATGGCGTAAGATGAATGTTGGTTTATTTGAATCTGTGCTTAGATTTTCAATTTCAAACGGTTTTCGATCGTCGATGTTTTGTGATTAAATTAATTTTATAAAACTTTTATGAAAACAGTGCATATTTCCAATTATGTCAATTTTTAATGAACTTCTATTACCAAAAGTCCTTGAAATACAAAACATATACGAGACAATATTTAATGACGAGCTTAAGGTAATCGACAAGTGAAAAATTATGTAAAAATGTGTACCTTCAGTATTACTCTGCATATTAACTTACTCGTGTAATATTTATCGTGAAAGTTTTAAAAACTCTACACATCGTGTTCCAGGCGGCACTCGAAAGTTTTGATAAGTTTGAAGAGGAGTTTCAAAAAGGGAGGGCGACAGTTCGTGAAAAGACGCTAAAAGACAAAAATGCCCAGACAATTCTTCAAAGTATTACCGAGGATGAAGGTAAAATCCTTATGAAAGGATATGTTTACCGAAAATTGTTATATTATATCATGAACTTCTAAATAAAACATTGACCTTAATTATTATAATTTTTCATATATATGACAGAAAATTTAATGCCTAGGCTTAGTCTTTCATTTTAATATTATTAACAAGTACCAATTCTCACGTTTTTCTTCAAGGATTTAGATATTATTTCATTTATTTTAAGCTAAAATTTAGAAGTTTATTGCAACACAACATGATTAATCTTAAATTAATGTCATCAAGTGAACAGTTTTGTTACTATAGAAAATAAATTATTAAGTTTTTCTTAATTATGATTATTATATTTATGAATCATTATAGATGATAAACCTAAACCTACTGACAAGCCTAAAACTAGTGATGAACATAGCTCCACAGAGAGTGGGAAAGAGAATAGAGGACCTAAAAAAAGGAGTAAAAATGAAGTGGATGATATGTTAAGTCCTGAACAAGATAAACGGGTTAAGAGGAATGCATCTGTTAAAGCTCAGAGCATTATAAGTAAACAAGTAAGTCTTTTTGTCCTATTTAATCATTAAAGGTACATATTAGATTAATACTTGGTATTAATGAATTTTAATAGAATATAAGTTTTTTAAAATTTCAAATATAAATGTCCAGAACCATTTATGGTTTTTTAAGGTGTCAATTAAAATTATTTAGTTACTTTCTGTTTGTTAATAGTTCAGTAAATTAATAATATAATGTGTAAATGGCTATCATGAGTTTAGCTACGGTGACTAATCTGTCATCGGAAGTTTTAATATTTTAGTCATAACTTACATAACTTTTTCTTACAGAATAATGAGGAAAGTGTCATTGTTGTTTCTTCTGAGGTATCAAAATATGGCAAATTGTGTTTGTTTATTAACTCCCACACTTAGACCTTAATTTAAATATCTCAATTTGAGAAAAGCTTTTCTTTATATTTCATATATACACTGAGAGTGAGTGTTTAAGTCAATTTAGCTGAGGTTAAGAGTTAAGTTAAGAGGTTGAGCTTAAGACCTATATATAAGTATGGGAGTTGATTTATTCACTAACAGGATTAACATAGTGAAACTAGAACTGAGTGTATACAGTATAACAGTATTTGTGTTGTCTCAGAATAATATAGAAAGGATAAAGTATTGATTATTGGGTAAATTTATTAGTAGTCAGAGTGTATAAAAGTTAATTAAAGAATTTAAGTGAATCAATGTTAACATACTTGACAAAATATTGGTTTCTTAGTACATGATTTTTGGTGGAAAAATTAATTTGGCAGTTTTGAGTTTTTATATCAAGTATTCCTTAACATTTGTAAATGATCATTTGATTGAGAACTTGGTAGTAGAGTGGAGTAGTGATTGTGTTTGTGATGTTAATACAATTAAGTTAGTTTTGATTTGTTTTCATTATATGTAACATCCACATAAGTATGTAATCTTTCAGGTAAATGTTAACTTAACTCAAAAATTACGCCGTGAGAATTCTACTGAAAAAAAGAGCCGTCGTCATAAAGATGATGAAAAAGAGAACAATGAACCGATACCTGCTGTGCAGAGTGAGTATTGATAGTACAATTGTATCTCTTTGGTTTCTAGATCTAATTTTAGAATAATCTGATGTTTACCGTTAAATATCACTGATGTTAAATAAAAATTGTGCTAATAAATTGAATGCTTCTAAATATTATTAATGTGCTAAATACTAGTGGAGATTTATACTCTAGGGTTGTAAGTCTCAAAAATGTTGCTAATGTAAAAGACATGGAATAAATATTCTACCCAAACTGTAATAATATTGTTATAGACCTGTTACATTCTTGGGTAAGTTTTTATTTTACTGAAAGATAAGGAAAAACACATAGATATGTCTAGTCTGTATATTGTATGTAATATTCAAAATTAAATCCTACTAAAAATATAATTTATTAATGCAAATATGAAAGTATTAATAATTAATGAATGAGAATTAAAAATCGGAATGTATTTGCCATGCTACTACCATCTTTATAATCTGTAGCAGCTCATGCTTTAACGCATGCTGCACATTTATAGCATTTCATTCCGAATATCTGTACTACCGTTAAAAATGCTTGGTAATAGTGAATGTAAGGATACCTCAATCTCACTCATGAATTAAACTACAGAAGTTGTTATTATAAATCATCATACTATCAGGACTTAACTTTTGGTATATATAGTATGCTTACTAAAGCAAAGTATATTTAAGTACTATGGATCAACCACTTTAGTCTAATTTAACTTTCTGGGGTTTATTCCCGGCTAAGCATTTTAATATTTTTGCAAACAGTAGGTTTCGTAACTTTTCTATATAAATAATTTTATATTATATTGTAACAAACTTTAGTTAAACAAGAGAAGATATCCATCCCACCTGAGCCCGAGCCAATGGAGATGGAATCATTGCCAGTGAACATTGAAATCAAACAGGATCCATCTCAAGATGACATTGCCATGCCGCCACCTGCTATTCCCATCCCAAGTAAGATTTCACCATTTTCAATTACGTACGTACGTCCCACCCCAGCATGATCTATGTCAGTTTATCGATTCGACATTCTAGATAAGGATAATTCACCCTGAATGACGTGCTATACAATATTCCCTTAATTCCTTCATCTGTTTGCAGAGTCACGCAAAGCAGCGCAAAAGAACAAGTACGAAGAGGGCGAAGGGGAAACTACGGAACGTAGCGCTCGCTCAAAGAAACAAACGGATGAACCTATACGTGGTAAGTTGTATACTAAATATTAAATAAATTTTTTTAATATTTATCGCCGTTTCAGTTGCGCTATAGTAGTGGCTACGTCTACTTGAAGTTTTATTTAAATTGTATTCTTTTTGCGTCTTATGTTGTGTTAATTTATTCTTTATGTTTGCAAAGTGAAATGTTAAAACAAAGTTTAGTTAAAATAGATTATTACATTTTCTGTACGAATTGTGTTCATAATTTAAAATTCAAACTCAACTCTAAGTAATATCAAAGTTTTAAGCTATTGCATAGCTTCTATAGCGGGCCTTGAGCGTGGAGACCGAATCCGGAAATTCCGTAACGAAAATAACCTAACACACGATGACGTAACGTGACGTCTCACATCGGGGGCAGCCGGTACGCGCTAGAGTGAGACAGACTATATAGGAATGTTAGTCTGAGTCTGGTAGAGTGGTAGATTAAGGAATTAATATCAAAGAAAAAACTTGAATTAATATAAAAGAAAAAAATACTGCATACATAAAAAAAATAATAAATAATTATAACTGCAAAGTTGATAACAAATGCTATGCAATAGCTTTACCGCGGCAGAGTGAAGAGAGCGAGTGCGCAGTGCCACACGTTTTGTTTTTTATTTAATAGTGTATTTCCTCCTGATTTATTTAATATGATAACCAGACATCATTGATATTATAGCTTCAACTCGCTCAACCCGAGCCAGTTCGAGAGCCACGAAAAAAGACGGTGAAGAAATGGATCCACCTCCCGCTGAAACACGGCCCAAACGGACTAGGGCTAAAAAGTAAGTTATTAAAAATTATAAGTAACCTATCGAAATAAAAAAAAGAAGAGAAAAGAAGACAGAGGGTGTAGGCCGAGAGAAAAAGCCGGCGTAAAAAACTCTCGGTACTCTTTTAAAATAGCAAATCATCAAACAACACTTATTTTAAAACATATATCGCAAATTAATTAGAAGTAGCCTGTCTAGCACTAGTCCTAGGCCCCTTTATTAACTAGATAATCGTTAACTTTATAGTAAGCTTTTTTACACAGCTTTTTTAAAATACATTTCTTAAATTTATTAAAAGGCAGAGATAAAAGAGCTTCTGGGATTTTATTAAAGAAGAGTATCTCTTACCAAAAAATGATTCCTAACTTTAGATAGTCTAGTACGGGGAAATTGCAGCCTGCGTTTGTTCCGAGTATTAACATTGTGCGTATGTTCTATTCTAGTAAACTTATCACTATTTTTGTATACATACATAATATTTTCATTAATATAAAAATATACAAACAACAACTTGCCAGTTATTTAATTTTTGCTATCATAGACGTAAAATACGACAACAAACTACTTAATATTTGGACTATTTATATAAACTATTAAAGTACACAGCTCGAAAAATACTCGATAATAAAACTCGTATATACACTGTACTATTTCTAATTATTTGCTTGTCTTACAGGTGACACCCGAAGTAACTGAAGACGGAAAGGGTAGCCAAAGTATAGTAGACAGTTCCATAGGTAAGTTCCCATATACATCTAATTAATTTCATTAAAAAAAAAAAAACAATTTTATTGATCTAATTAAGTAAATATGATTACAAGATAATATTTTTTCCAGCATCACCAGCAGATAAACGTCCAAAGAGAACGAGACGCGGACGAAAAGCTTCGTAAGTATTTTTTTAAGTACTCTGCTTCGAAGCTATATCTTAAGTACAAGTTTTACACGTATCATATTACAATTCTATCTGTTGGTATGTTAAGGACATCATCACATTGACTTGACTAGTACATAAGATGATAATAGAATTATAAAAACACAAAAAGCTATGTCAAATTAGTATGCTATAAATATCTTAATATAATAAATTACATTTTAATTATACAATATAATGCCCCCTTAGCTAGGGCCTCACTTATATTTTTGGTTAGTGTAATAAATCCCTATATTTCCTTAAACTGCAGTTGTTACACATAACTATTATGTTTTTTTTTTCGAATTATGCCCTTGTATTACCGAGCGAGCGATATATGAGTGTGTCAAAAACCTATATCATAATTATTTTCCAGTTCCAGAATAAAAAAATAACAGATTGTTATTTTATCAAATAATTTTTTGTTTTAGAGATAAACAAGAACCACCTCAAGTGATTGATCAGACACCAGAAACAATTTCCCCCAAAAAAGAAAGAATATCAATTCCAGACACTACCACAGATTCACCTATCTTACAAAAAACAATAACAAAGAAAAAACATAAACAATCCGAAAGTATTAATATTGAAAAACCAAAAAATGGAATTATCAAACCGAATGGTATCGTTGTAGAAAATGGAATCTATACAGGATTTCATGGATTGGAAATGTGTGATGCAATCAATGAAACATATGTAACAGCTTCAAACAAAGCATGTGATGAAACAAGGGTTCTTGATAAATTAAACTCAACGGTTACTTTATCAAAAGATTTGGATAAAGATGTTGTTTTGCCAAATGGAGATAGCCATGCTGAAATTATCAAAGCTGTAAGTATAACCTGTTTATTTTTTCTTAAAAATCGGTACATTTTCAAATATTTTCTATTATAATTGTCTTTTTGAAGTTATACTTCTTTAGGCGCGTTATGAAAAATTGATGAGAGTGTGATTTTACGATGCGCGCGCACCGTGACACAAAATTAACAGAATGAAGTTGCCCACGGAAGATGCTACGGCTTTGGACATAATTTAAAAACAACATTCGAATAATAATAGAATTTATGTTACACTTAATGTAAGAGAATAATAATTAATATTTATTTATTTAATTTTTCAAATTTAAACTGAACTTTATTGACTATAATGACTCCTTTTTTAGTCTTTGATTTTTTAATTGTAATTAATTGTTTACATGCAATCAAAAATTATTTTTAATAATGCCAAAGAAGTATAACTTCTTACGCGCGTACATAAGTACACGCACCCTTTTTTTTTAGTTCACTAATGATAATCCATATTTGGACGATTAGAAACAAATCATATATTAAATTCTGATAGAACGAAATATTACTTCATTAATATTAATTGAATTTATACGAGGAAATTTTAAAATTAGTTTTTACTCAATTGATTTAAATATTATTTCCAGAAGATGAACGAAACGGTAGTTATAGAAAAAGACAACACAAACAAACAAATTATGGACGCCACCGTCGTCTTGGAGAAAGGTTTGTGAATTGTCTCTTAGGGAGCGTTCAAGTATTACGTCACGCAATTTTTGGAGATTATTTACCCCCCCCCCCCCCCCATGTAACGCGTCGTAATGTTTTTCTGTACCCAAGTATAGTAAAACGTTTCGTGACCTAGTAACGCTTTATACCCAAAAGTTACCATTATGTGGTGTAAAGTACTGGAATGTCAAAAATAATATTAAGAAAATAACGGCTTAATTCAATCTCCGCCCCGCATTGTAAAGTTTTACAAAAGGACCCCCTCCACCAAAATTCCGCAAAGAAAAATGGAACCTATATATATATATATTTAATGAGATTCGACGAGAGAAAACATCTCTTGTAACGTAAAATTCTCTTCGTACTAAACATTTTTGGAATAATTTAAAATATATGGCCTCCATAGCTTACTTTAATAAAATAGATTGAGTCAAGAAGGGTTCGATAATAATAAATGACTGAGGGAGCGTTCAAGTATTACGTTTCGTGACTCTTTATACCTAAAAGTTACCATTATGTGGTGTAAAGTATAGTCTAGTCGACAAGTTGCAAATGGTACAAAATAGAGATACTGCTCTTAAAATTATGTGCGATAGCCCATTGGCGTCAATCCGGAATGGCGTCTAGAAAAATGTGCCTAAAGCGTGTATTAGCACATAATTAAAGATGAGAAAAAAATGGCATTTCGTTTTTTGCCAATATTTAATAAACTATTAATATTTAAGAAATTTTAATATTCTAAAAGAAGAGGAAATTTCCAATAAAAAACTCTTAACTCCCGGAACTCTATCTCCATTATTTATAATTTTAATTTAACGCTGAAAATAGGTCTGCGAGTAAAAAAATTGTTATAAACAAAGTGTAAATATTTTTTTAACTTTTATGGCACGATCTTGTTAAGTATGTATGTAAGTATCTCTATTTTGTACCATTTTCAACTTGTCGACTAGACTAGTACTGGAAAGTCGAAAATAATATTAGCAATGACGCGTAACTCAATCCCCGCCAAAAATCGTAACGTTTTACAAGAAGACCGGGTCTTCTCAAATTCTTTATAAATACTTGAATGCTCATATTTAGATCTACAAAACTCATATTTAGATCTAATAAAGATTATATGCTTTACATTGAAAATAGATCTTACATAATGTTATAAAGATGCATTGCACATAAAAATTAAAGTGGTATTGAAAGCATACTGCTAATACTATGGTGGTACTATATAAATAGTTCGTCATGATCGTAGAACAATGTCGGATTTGAAAAAAAAACAAAATCCACTTTTAATCTTATTTGGATACTACATTGACTAAATATTACGGCTAAATTAAAAAAAACATTGGTTTTAAATTTCCAATTAATCAGTCAGTAAAGTGACGGATTTGATAGATGCTCATTGATTTTTCTAGAAAACTGTAATTTTATGTTATTATTTTTATTTTGTTTCAAAGAAACCCATTTGTTTGCTTGTATACCAATTTTCATAATTACAGAATATGAATTAAAAATGACAAAAAACTAACAAGACTATATTATTTTGAAATGGCTGCCCTGTAAAGTTAACTATTTGTCAGATCCGTCACTATTCTACGACTATGACGAATTTTACCCAAATTAATCGCTTTTGAATACAAAATACGAATATACGATTTATAATATAGACTCCTGTTTAGATCCGAAGCCTACAAATGTAACTGACGACAATTCATTGATGACTGATGACGATTCCATAGAAGAGAAGACTCCGCCCCACAAGCCGACCCCACAGCCCACGTAAGTTAACAATCTATTTTTGAGTGTTCTAGCTGATTTCTAGAGCATAACATTAAATAAATTAATATAAATTTTATGTATAATTTAAAATTTTAATAGGCATTGACAAACTATTTCACAGCAGATTTTTGTATGGGTCACGTTTCTAGAAACTTCTTTGAGAAGCTTCTCATACTATATTACGATCGATCGATGTATTTTACCCGTAGATTTTTTTGTGATGTACGCGCTGATTTAGCATGGTAATTCCTAATAGTTTCCCAAGTTCCGATATATCTCAGACTTTTAATTATAATTTTCTCAAAGGACATAGATTTTGTTATGTGTATTGATAACCTAAAAATAATATTGCAGGTCGGCAGTTAAAGAAAAAGTGCAACAATTCGAAGAAATGGCATCACGAGTTACTAGGACGAAGACACGGGCGTTGGCCAAGAAGGTAGGTTTTGCAATAATTCAATTGTTTTACGTCAAGTAAAAAATCTAATGGTATCGAGCTTTAAACATCATATTTGAAAGATTAGTTTTTTTAAAGTTTATATAAAGATATTTTTTTTTAAATGTGATGTGGCTACTTTTTGTATTATTTTTATTTTACTATTACTCAGTTGCGTCATATTTCAATATATCCAAATGTTAAAATTGGATATATTGAATTAATATAAATAGGTATAATATATTTTTATATTATTATTTTTATATTAATTCAATATATCCAAATTTTAAAATTGGATATATTGAATTAATATTAATAGGTATAATATATTTTAATATTATTATTTTTAATTATTTTAATTATTACTTTGTAGGTTAAGAAAATTTTAAATACTGTATACTTGATTGTAAATAAATGATAAAATATTTTAAAATTTGATATAAATAGATAATGTAAAAAGAAACTATTTACAAGAACTTGTATGAAATTTTCAACAGGAGGAATCCAAAGAGAATCAAACCCCGCCTGATAAAACAATACCCTCTAGTGTCGCTTCTGATACTCTCACCAAAATGAATAATTTGATATTCAAGTCGAAGATGCCACAGGTAATATAATATGTCAATATACAGACAAATCTTCAATTTTATTGCTCTACACATAGAGCAATCTAATATTATCCAAACTTTATGATAAGGCTTAACGCACATTTGTAACAGAATGAAGACTACATTAATACTACTAATTTATCATACAGGCATTGGGTGTGTTACTTTTAAATTATAAAATTAGACATTCTTTTGTCCTTGAAATAGACAGGTGTATTAACATTAGAACTTTAAGGCTTTTATATATGTTTAGTTTATTTGGTTCAAATGTCGATAACTAATAATTTTCTTAACCCTAAATTTAATTGAAAAAAAAGAACTTTAAATAATCGTCATAGTCGTAGAATAGTGACGGATCTGACAAATAGTAAACTTTACAGGGCAGCCATTTTATAATAATATAATCATGTTAGTTTTTGGTCATAACTTTTTAAATTCATATTCTGTAATTATGAAAATTGGCATATAAGCAAACAATAGGGTTTCGTTTGAAACAAAATAAAAATATTCAAATTTAATTACACAGTTTTCTAGAAAAATCAATAAGCGTCTATCAAATCCGTCACTTTACCGACTGATTAATTTGACATTCAAAACAGGGTTTTTTTTTAAAGTAGCCGTAATATTTAGTCAATGTAGTACCAATATATGATAAAAAGTGGATTTTGGATTTTTTTCAAATTCGTCATTGTTCTACGATCATGACGTTATGTTCATTTTGTTTTCAATTTGAATGATTTTTTCTCTTATATCTTTGCAGATTATGAAAAAAACAAATGCAATGGACACAGCAATATATCATATTTTTTTATTTAATTGTTATCTTTTAATTCAATGATTAATGCATTTTTTTTTAGTTGAGCCACTCTGCCTCGAAGCCGACAGCAAATACTCCTGTTATAAAATCTCAAATCCCTATGTCCACATCCAAGTTAAGCGGTATTAATAGAGCACGAGAGGCCGCAGAAGAACAAAAGAGGGAGAAAGAAGATGCCAGAAGGAAAAAAGAAGCACTTTTGGAGGCTAAGAGGGAGATGCATAAGAGGTAATTTTAAATTTGATATATTTTAAGTTTAACTAACTCGCGGTTATTTCAACAGAATAGTTTTATATTTTTATTTTTAAGCTATTGCATAGATTTTATCGCGGGCTTTGAGCGCAGCGACCGAATCAAGAAATTCCGTAACGAAATAAACCTAACACACGGTCAATACGCGTTAGAGCGGGACAGAACGCATCCTGCGTCTCACATCGGTTTAGCGTGATCGGATAGGCGTATTAGTCTGAGTCTGGTAGAGTGGTAGATTGCATTAATATAAAAACAAACCTGCAAAAAATAAATAAATAATTATATTGCATAAGTTTATAAAAAATGCTTTGCAATAGAGCTTTACCGCGGCAGTCCCCGAGTGCCGCGGTATTTTTTGTTACATTATTTTTTAAGTGTTGAATAAATTCTTTTTTTACCCATAACTTAATCTATTATGCACATTATTTATGTTTTTTTTTAATGTTATAATTATTGTTTTATTTTAAAATTGTTGTGTTGATTCTTGATGGACTACAACTAATTTTACACTTTTGGCATGAAGTTTCATCCTGTATTCGTTAACAATACAATGATTTTCCATACTTTATGTTTACTTTACCACATCTCTGCCTTTTTTCTAAATACGTCTACAGAACGCGGCATAAATTATTCTGACAGAATTTTATTTTAGCTGTGATTTTGTTAAATTTTTGTGCAACCGGTACAGATACAAAATCAAAACATAGAACTGAGTAAACTCCCGTATGTCAAATCCTGTAGTAATTTTTTTCATTGTAATCGTGTTTTGTCTACGTCAATACGTCTATAGAAAAAGAGAAGAAAAGATGGCGGCCGCGGCTGCAGCTCGTGAGGCGTCGGAAAGAGAAAGAAGAGCTGCGTTGGCTGCAGCAGCTAGGGAGAGGCAGGAGAAACTGATGCTTGCTGACGTGAGCAAACAAGAGAGGCTGAAGGAGATGGAAAAGGTTCGCGTTTACTGGATTTTAGAATTATTTTCGTTTAAATTAGCCTTAAATTAAAAAAGGGGTGCGTGTTTTTTTTTGGGGGGGGGGGGGTTTTTTTGGGATTAAAAAAGGATTGCATGCAAATAATTAATTACAATTAAATAATCAAAGACTGGAAGAGGATTCATTATAGTCAATAAAGTTCAGTTCATTTGACAACATACAACATAAATTCTATTATTATTCGATTGTTCTTTTTAAATTATGTCCAATGCCGTAGCATCTTCCGTGGGCAACTTCATTCTGTTAATTTTGTGTCACGGTGCGCGCGCATCGTAAAATTTCACTCCTAAATTTTCATAACGCGCCTAAAGAAGTATAACTTCAAACATTGTTTCCTGTTTAAAAAATGTCAAATATTTAATACTTTTTTTTTATTATTGTCGACTATAAATTTTGAATAAAAGTATGACCCCTAGTTAAAATAGAACAATTAAATAGGCCGATTAACGGAGGTTTATAAGCGATATGTTCGATTAGTTTTATTAGTTCCGACAAATCTAAATTACCTAATAGTTTCGTGATATTCATCCTATATTAAACAGAAAAAGCTAGAATATGCGCGTAAAGTAGCAGAGACAGAAGAGAGACGGCGCGCAGAAGAGATTGTGAGACAAAAAAAGCTTGAAGAAGAACTGAAAAAGGCCGAAGAGAGAAGGAAACAACTAGAGGAAGCTGATGTGTGAGTAGTTTTTAAGATTTCGTCTTTTTTTCAAAGATTATCTTATTTATACTTGGACCTAATAAGTACAAAACCCTACGATTTCATTCAAGAAAATCTTTTTATTTATGATTTCACGACACTTATACTTGGCACATAGATATTTATTTTAAAAGTATTTTGGCCTTGCTCGGGCATAATTTAACATTCTAATAGTGAAATAATTTTTAAAACATACATTAAAAATTATAAATCAGTGGCCTAAAGAGGTTGTATCTTTAGGTCTTGGCCTCAGATTTCTGAATCTGTTTCATGATCATTTTTAAATCTAATAGGCAAGTAGGTGATAGAGGATTCAGTGCCTGATACACGCCGTCGACTTTTTGGGTCTAAGACATGTCGGTTTCCTCACGATGTTTTCCTTCACCGTTCGAGCAAATGTTAAATGCGCACATATAACCGTAGAAATAAAGTCCATTGGTGCACAGCCGGGGATCGAACCTACGACCTCAGGTATGAGAGTCGCACGCTGAAGCCACTAGGCCAACACTGCTCTACATACAATAATTGACTTTTTTCTTTATAATATTAGTATAGATTGGAGTGTTTTGATTTAAAAAAAAATGTGTACGTGTACTAGGTGTACACACGTAAGAAGTGAAACTTCTTTATGACCTTATTAGAAACTATTTCTTTAAACACAGTAAATTTTGATACACTGCCTAGCATACAATTTACAAATTAATTGCTGCAAATTGCGGTTAGCAAATTTCAATTCGAAAATGTAATCCGTTGTCAAACTTCAAAGTCAAAAACATACTATATGTCATATTTTAACGCCGATAAAGAAGTTTGACTTCAAAAAGCAACATGGCGCGTAACGGAAAAATGTGACGCGTAACGCAATGTAATATGTAAATTTTTCCAACCCCGATAAAGAAGTTTCACTTCAAAAATTACAACTGTTCGAATAATATTCATTTAAAAAAGGAGTGTAATTAAAATATTGCAATATACATATATATTGTAATACTAATTGTATGTATGTGTGTAATTGCATCCTAAATAGGGAGATAATGTACTTCCTAGCCTAATTTTATGGTCCATATTGTAATTATCGTGTTGTAGTCGAATATTCCACAACAGTTCTTGAAAGTATCAAAGTCAAATCATTTATTTCAATTAGACCACCTAAAATGGCACTTTCGTACGTCAAACAAAATACAAAGAAGATTCTAGTTGCCCCTTCCAAAAGGTAGTTTCGTGTGGAGAAGAATGGGCAAGAAACTCCACACTTACTCTTTTTAAATAGGTTTACAATATTTTGTTTACATGAGTTAAATAATTATATGTGAAGACAATGTACTCCTACAATAAAACTACTATACTAAAAAAGTTAGTATACATGTTTCTCACATATTTACAAATATCGAAACCGTAGAATATTATACATTGAAGAGTAATAAACATAATATAAAAAACACAATAAAACAGTGTGTGAGATAAAATAAAAAAATGACATTTTGTAGTATTATAAATTAAAAAAATAACAAAAATATGTTAAAGCAAAAAATCAGCAACCAATTTGATTTTGTCCAGGCTTTATGATTGTCCTATGGAGCAGGAGGCAAGGTTTCCAAGCATTCTTATCTTGTATATAAATCTCCTACAAAGTGTACTTTTAATAAAACATTTAAATTTTCGTATATTACAAGTTATTGACGTTCTAGAAAACGAGCCTACGTAGAATATTTTCAAGCTAAGTAAAAGACAATGCATCCCAACAATAAATAATTTCGGTAATCTTTTTATAAAATAAAATAAAATAAAAAGCCTTTATTGTTGTTAACAAGTTTTACACAGAGTAGTTTCTTGTGCCTAAAATTAATTTACTTATGACTAAAAAAACACATTTTGATTATTAACTAGAGTTTAACTAATATACTAACAATTTTACTATCTATCAATTATCGGCAAACGGTAGTTCGGTTACAACTTGTCTTCCGACAAAGGCCACCTCTAAGGCTCTCCAGTCTTTTCTCATTTTTGCAGTGCGAGTCCATGTTGAACCCGCTATTTTCTTAATGTCATCCTCCCATCTCTTAGCCTGTCTTCCTCTATGTCTCTTTCCGTCCAAAGGGTACCATTCTGTGATAAGTTTTGTCCACTTTTCTTGCTTTTCTCTCATCATATGCCCTGTCCACCTCCACTTCAGCTGTTTGTATGTTGTGTATTCATTCTTAAACTTAGTTATGTTACGTATTTATAGTAAAATATAAATTAAATTTTTCAGAGATAAAAGGGAAGCTGTGCTATTGAAACGCGAAATGGATAGAAAGAACAAAGAGTACCAGGAAAAGTTAAAACGGAAACAGAAATTGGAAAATGAAAAAAGTAAGTTAACTAATCTTTACTTTGTGTGGCCTGAATCGAGACGAGCGCGAAGTGTGACTCCCGCTTATCAAAATACAAAACACATTTCTGACATGGAAGTCATCGATTCCAGCATTTAGTTATAACTCGCCTACAATTATTGGAAATATTAGATTACTAAAACTGCTAATATTATAAAAAATTAAAAGCACGCAAAACATCTTAATAGCATATTAATTATGTAAAGTTTAAATTTAAATTATATTTTTATTTTCCAAATGTGAATAATCAGGGGTGGAATAGAGAACAAAATATACAAGTGTCTGACTTATGTTTATTCACGAGCCTACACACTCGTGGAAAAAATGTGTAAGGGAGCGTTCAAGTATTACGTCACGGAATTTTTAGATATTGACCCCCCTGAGAGCAGTGTTGGCCTAGTGGCTTCAGCGTGCGACTCTTATTCCTGAGGTCGTAGGTTCGATCCCCGGCTGTGCACTAATGGACTTTCTTTCTATGTGCGCATTTAACATTCGCTCGAACGGTGAAGGAAAACATCGTGAGGAAACCGACATGTCTTAGACCCAAAAAGTCGACGGCGTGTGTCAGGCACTGAAGGCTGATCACCTACTTGCCTATTAGATTTAAAAAATGATCATAAAACAGATTCAGAAATCTGAGGCACAGACCTAAAGAAGTTGTAGCGCCACTGATTTATTTTATTATTTATTTATTGACCCCCGTGTAAGGCGCCGTAACGTTTTTCTGTACCCAAGTACAGATACCATTATGTGGTGTAAAGTACTGGAGAGTCGAAAATAATATTAACAATAACGCGTAATAAAATCCCCGCCCCGCATCGTAACGTTTTACAAAAGGACCCCCCCCCCAAATTCATTACGTAATACTTGAACGCTCCCTAAGCCCATGTGAACCCCCCGTTATTACATATTATCTGCCCTATTATAAAACTTGATCTTTAGTTACCATAATGTCTTTTCAGTGCCAACACCGCTGAAGTATCGACCAGACCCAGTATGCATGGAAGGCGGGTTCCAGTACCTCATCTCTGATGAGGAAGCTGAACCCGAACAAAGACCACACCCTGATTGGTCTACTCATAAGGTAATAACCAACTATAGAAGTATATTCAATTTCAATTTTGATTAAAAAAAAGGGTGCGTGTAGTTATGTGCGCGCGGAAGAAGTTATACTTCTTTGGCATTATTAAAAATAGTTTTTGATTGCATGCAAATAATTAATTACAATTAAATAATCAAAGACTGGAAAAGGAGTCATTATAGTCAATAAAGTTCAGTTTACATTGGAAAAATTAAATAAATAAATATTTATTATTATTATCTTACATTAAGTGTAACATAAATTCTATTATTATTCGAATGTTCTTTTTAAATTATGTCCAATGCCGTAGCATCTTCCGTGGGCAACTTCATTCTGTTAATTTTGTGTCACGGTGCGCGCGCATCGTAATTTCACTCTCATAAATTTTTCATAACGCGCCTAAAGAAGTATAACTTTAAAATTGTGACAAATAGATAACATAATGTTACTTACATATTTTAAATAAAAAAAATACAGTAATGTATTAGATAAAGAAAAAGTTTATTTAGACTAGTGTTAGTAATTACATAAAAACAATTCTTATTTGAACGCTATTGCGTATAGTCTGTTATTTTCGTCGTCTTTTGCTGCAACAGTAATTATGTTGTATTTTTTACTTGTTTTATTCATATCTTGCGGTATTGAGCTATCTTTGTAATAAAGCACGTGTCAAGCAATCCCAATTTGTAAACAAAAGAACGGATTTCTTAAAATATTCGATACGTATGATACCGACAGTCGAGTTTTACGGGCTAGGACAATACAGCGGCAAAAGAACGTACACAGTTCCGCAGTTTTAACTAATTTCGGCAGCTTAAAAAGTACTTTTTATTATTTAATTGTCGTTATTGAAAGTGGGTGTAACGCTATGTAGAGTGTAACATTGTATGGAAGACAAGCTTAACCAACCATAGCCGAGTGATGTCGACGCCTTAGGGTGTTTATCGTTAAATCGAAGGCCGATACATGGAGTTTACACTGTATTTATATTATACTGCTGTCGTCACAGTCGTCCATTTTGGGGTAAATTTTGTTTTTCAGAACCGTCACCACCTAGCGTGCATTCAAAACGATTTGAAGACGTCACCCATAGACAAGCTATTCTTAGTCCGTGAACAGACAGCGGATCTTAGAGAAATATTCCCGACCATAGACCGATCCAGACTTAAGAGAACATCTTCAGCAGTTTGGAGGACACCGCCAAGACTACCAGCGGTAACTGAATGAAGGTATGCTAAAGAAAAAATATGCTTTTGCAATATGAATCATACGTAGTCCTCGGCTCTACACTTTACTTAATGTTAATAACACATATTATGTAAGAATTAAAATAAAAATTCTGAAATTAGTGTTGCTTTCGACTGTTAATTAATACCAATCATATAACATAATATAAAAAATTCTGCAGCTACCTCATTTTTTTTTCATTTCATTGTTCCTTGAACTGCAAAACATTTGTTCACACAAATAGGAATACAGGCTTTAGATTCAAAGATAAATGTCACTAAAATTCATAGATGCGACTGGAGGAGTCAAATGGTCTTAGGATTTTCATAGTTCGGGCTTAGACGTATTACCGAATTAGCCAAAGTTATGTTATGGGAATCTTGCTTAGATGAAAGAGTACAAAGATTACCAAGTATAATCAGTTGTTGTCTTCAAGAGTACGTTACGAATTATACAATACCACATCACACAAGTTATGTTGCAAGATAGCACCTCCCATTTTATTTACAATATATATTATATACTTTTAATTTTTTTTTTCAGTAAAGTATCAAGATTACTGTCAAACTATATTGATGAACCGTGTTGTAAACTGCTCTCTTTCCCCACAGACTCTACAGCATTTTTTTTAATAAATTCAAAACATTTTTGATAAGTCAATAAATGACATAAAATATTTATTTATTACAGATTTCAGTCTGGAGTCTGGTGTCTCAGGGACAAAGTCGCAGGCGGCGAATGTATATAGCTTTTAATTTACACTAATGTGCCCTTTATAATGTATAACGAATTTGAGTATTACATATTTAATAGCTTCATTCAGGTTTAATAGTTTTTTTATTCTTCATACAAATTTTAGACAATTTGTAGACAGTTAATCACACCACCAAATAACCTCTATTCTACTAATAGTAATGATTGAATAATGCGATATTACAATTGGTTTCAAATTTGATTAAGTATTTTTAATATTCAACTTTAAGGCTCATTATGACATACTCGTTTTTAAGATTTTTTTATCTTATTGGTCTCTGACACAACAGGTGAAAGACATTGATTAATAGACATACGTTTCATGACCTGCGCCAGTATTCTGTAAGTTCCAATAGCCAAAGCGATTCCGACCGCGTAGTTCTTGCATGCAATTTTGATACCAATGTAGCGCTTGATTGCGCGATACAAAAACTGAATATTGAAATCGGGATCGCGATCGCTATCGCTATTGAAAGTTGCTAAGTATCGGCGCAGCTGTAAATTATGAAGTTTTAAACATCAAATATTAAACTCTTTTGCATTTATAACATTTAATGTTATTAAATTTTATTTTTGCCGGTTATGTTCAAGTTTAAAGTACGTCACACATGCCGTTTGGTATTCTATTTGTATGGAATAAAAATTATGTAATTCTTTTCTCTAGCAATAATAGTTTATGGTTTATTTTCTATGTTTAAAATAGGTCTAGAATTTTTTTATTGACAAAATACAAAAAAAAAGTATCGTGTGACGTGTTCATTTGTTTTAGAATAATTTTAAAATTAAGACTGCTTATGTAATATCATGATTGTTAGAATAAATAGTTATTGTGATTTGTTTTATTTACTTAATACTTTTCAATTAACTGAGCTGAGCGTTTACATGTCTGTTTATATAGCAAAGTATTATTTATACCTTTTCTTTAGATTTTATTTTATGTAATTTTAGTTATAGTTGCATGTTATTTTGAGTATCTTTTTGTTAATTAATTATGCATCTTTTGTAGTTTACCTTCTGTAGGTTTTTCTATTGTTCCATTTTAGGGTTGCCTGGAAGAAATCGCTTGTTAGCGATAAGGCCGCCCGTTGCCTAATAACTTATGTAACCTACTTACTTTTTTGTTTTTTTCTATATGTATAATTATCTGTATTATGGCAATGAAGTATAAATAAATGAATACTTTCCAATTGCAGCGGGAGCAACGATTCAAATAAAACGCTATATTATAGTAATGTCGGTAATTGCCTAATAGTATAATAGATTTTGTTGTTTAAAATCCTTACGAGGTAGAAATATTTCTAAATGTTCCAGGAAAAACAATTAAGATATGAAATTAAATCTTGTGGATAATAGAACCCCGCTCTTATGACTCCTACGACATATTGGTTAACCAGTAAGATACCAAGCCTTTACTAAAATAGGATATCCGAGAGTATAATACGGGTCCCGGAAGAACGTGTACTGTGCGGTAAGCTGCTACTTAACATGCGGTATAAATCAAAATTTCATCGTAGACTCGAATTATATGTAAGGAAGGAATTACGTACACTTTTAATTCAAAGGTTCACTCGGATAAAAAAACAATATAATAGTAATTTCTCGAAGAAAACATCACCAATCCCGCGTCGTTGCACGCGCGGGTTTCAATTTTTTCGCGCCTCACTTTTTAGTGCCTATCTAGCCACCACCTCAATAATGGCGGTGGCCAGATATGATCGGTGCGTGGTAAGCTCGGCAATCGACTATGATGGGGAAGCGACCTGCGTTTTTGTGCACGATGTGGGTGCCGGCGGTTTCGCACTGAGGGTTTCCCACGGGAAGCAGCGCTTATGCTCGGGTGGTCGTGTGTGGTGTGATCTAAATAAATTCATTGCTTACAAGTATTAGTATGACGTAACCACAGGAAGTATCGACCATCAGAGAAGTAAGATTTATCGCTTTCAATAGAACGTACCTACTCATAAACAAAGACAAAAAGTGAAGAAGAAAAAAAGATTCGATTAAGACTTTTTTGTTCTTTGGGGCCCCCCGCCCCCCCCCCCCCCCCCCCCCCCCCCGGGGGGGGGGTTTTTTTTTTTGGGGTTTTTTTTTTTGGGGGCTTTTCCCCCCCCCCCCGGGCGGGGGGGGGCGGCGCCCCCCGCCCCCCCCCCCGGGGGGGGGGGGGGGGGGGCGGGGGGGGGGGGCCGGGCGGGGGGGCCCCGAGTTGAGGGCGCGCTGCCGGCGAAAAAAAGATTCGAGGGGTGTTGGTTTTTTTTTTGGGGCGGGGGGGGGGGGGCTCGTTGGGGGCGGACGCGGGGGGGGGGGGGGGGGGGGGCCCCCGCCGGGGGGCCCCGGCCGCCCCCCCGCCCCCCCGCCCCCCCGGGGGGGGGGGGGGGGGGGGGGGGGGGGGGGGCGGGCCCGGGCCGCCGCGGCCCCCCCGGGGGGGGGGGGGGGCCCCGGGGGGGGGGGGGGGGGGGGGGGGGGTTAAGACTTTTCTATTAAAAACTTATATTGAATTTATTAGATCTCACCAATACACGATTAGGTAATCATCGAGTTAATCAGCGTTTATCTTCCAATCAACTAACCCGAACTCTTAATTTCATCAGTCATGATATCGAGACATTAATTAATATGAAGTCAATCTTTATATTTTTGCTTTGCGTTAGTTCTCCTGAACGACTCAAATACAGTGTAGGAGAATGATTGATCAATCAAAAAACATGTTAACATTAATGGGGTATTAGATCGAAAAATCGTTTTACCAAAACATGAACTAAGTATGTATGTAATTTGATTAACCTTGTTTTAATATTTTTTTAGGATTATAACTAAAGAAAGTAAGCCTTTATGTAATAAATTTTTAAACAGGAAACGGCACATTTATGAATTTACTATATTTCGTTACAATTGAAATAAATAAAACAAAACATTTTATACACTTATTTATTGCTAACCACCACTGTATCCTTACAAAGTACGGCCAAGAATCGAAGGAGTGTCCCTAAATACATGTAAGGTCTTAAAGCCAGTTACGTATTGCGTGTGTTTACATGAATTCGGTTAACTCGATCGGCAATGTCAGCACTGTATATCTACGGCAGTAATAAATACGGAATAATATTTTAAACATGATTATTTGTTGCGAACTTATTTAAAAATTGATATTTTTAAGTGACAAAACCTTTTTTAAATTAAATTTTACAATTAGCTGAAGTGACCATTTGCCCTAATATACGACAGGAGCTCACTTTAGAATCTATTCCAAAGCGGCAGCACCAGAGATAATTTCGATAAGTTCTCTGGTAATTACGGCTTGACGAGTTCTGTTGAAGGTAAGCGTGAGTTTGTCAATCATTTCTCCAGCGTTCTTGGAAGCGTTGTCCATAGATGTCATACGAGCCGATTGTTCGGAGCAGGCGCCCTCTTTGAGCGCATAGAAAATCATGGATGCGAGGGAAAACTCCATGTATGATTGCATCACGTCGGAATCGAGGGAATCGTATGTTGCCAGTTTTGGAGCACTCTGAAAGTCAATATTAAATAGAAACAAATCTTAAATCAGTTAAGCTGTAAAAATTGAAGTATTAAAATTATTCTGTAGAAAACTTTTATTTTTTTATAATTTTTTTTATTTTCCTTTGTGCTTTTATTGTATTAAAATTATTCTGTAACAATATAAATATTAGTTTATTATCAAACACCCACCTCGATAGATTTCAAGCTGAAGAGAGGCAAGTCAGATTGTTCATAAGAGACAACAGACCTGAACTTGTTGTAAACAATCTTGCCGGATCCAAACTCATAGCCGGAGGTCAGAATTGCATTTGCAATTGTGGCAGCGTCTTTGAATGTAGGTGGTAAGCGACCAATCTAAAAGAGAATTAGTATTTTAGAATTTCTTTTCTATATATAAAATAATAAAAATAAAATCCATTATTAAAAACATTTTTTCTTGTATAATTTTTTTCTATAATATACATATTTAGACAAAATCGCGGGCAGGTTTACCTCATTACAAACACTAATGATGTGTTTCCCATACAGACGTTGCAGAAAGCTACGGGACTTATCTCCCACACAGATCACTTTAATGTTCTCAGCACCAGGCTCTTGCAGCTTGGTACGAATTACTTTGCAGACACTAGTGTGTACTGCACCACATAGACCTAATAAAACAAAGTGGTTTTATTAAAATATATAGTTAGCAAAATAAATATGAATATGGCAGTTGCATTTAAATTTTTTATACATTCTGGTATATTTATTATAGCATATCCAAATAAATTGATAAATACATGATTAAACCAATTTAAACTATCCCGAAACATTACTACTTTACCTCTATCGGAAGTCATAGCAATATACAATTGCTTAGGATCATCTTCAGGAGGTGTTACCTGTAAGTAAAATTTATACTTTATACTACAAGAAATAAGTTATAATATAATAGACTAAGCATATAAATATAAAATAAGCATGTTCTTGCTCACTATGAAAATTACGGGATACACACAAAAATTGTTATTTCCATTTGAGAGAGTGAGGGCCTTGTATATAACTCATCTTTTTACCATCAACAATTTAATTTATTAATGAAGTTTATTATTGTTTATGCTTTTGCATGTGTCTATGGTAAAAAAAACTATATTAATTTAATACATGCTTCTCTGACATTTGTAGTTGATAATCTTCAGGTTAAATATCCAAAAACCAACAGTTTTAATATTTATACAGAAGAAGAAGTTTCATTATAAAAATGATTCAATATCATTGAGGGTAAAATAAATTAGCTATCCCCGTGGTTTCACATATATTCATTTAAGGGTCTTAACCCTAGCACATTATAAATTCCCATGTGAAAGTTGCTGTTTCAAAGTTTATGATACATTCATTATAATAAAACAATGTCATGGCCATTTTACAACATATTGTTAAAACATGATTTTAAATTCCCTTCCTCAAAAGATAGACAACACAAAAATAAATTTCTTCTGTGATTAGACCATTTAAAGATATAAACAAACTCTTCAGCTTTAAAATATTATTGTAAATTCTAACTAAACTAACCTCAGCACGGTCATAGAAAATAACAGAACCTTCTCCATAAGGTCTAGCAGCCTTTAAATCACGCTCAGCACGAGTATATCTGAAATATTCAAAATTCATACATAGTTTCAAAAATGAACAAGGCTGATTGAATTGGATTGCAGATCATGAACAAAAAAAATCATCCACTTCAAAAGTAAAATTAAGTAAGTAATTAGTGTTTAACATCTTGCATTTCTTGAAGTAAAATTTATAAAAATTAAAATGTTAATGTTACTAAAGAGAAAATAAGAACCATGCAAAGAACAATATTATTTTTAAATATGTACTTGGATTTTATAAGAGAATAGAAAAAAAAATCAATTCTAATTATGATTTTTAAAACAATATTTTGTTCTAGAAAAAAAATTAATACTTTAAATGACAATATAATAGAATAACTGTACTACACAAAGTTCAAATTTATGTCAACTTAACAATTCCATTTTCTGAAATCAAAAATAATACTTGTTCTAACACTGTGCAACAATTGAAAACTTACTTAGCAGCTGACACCATCTTCATGGACTGGGTAATTTTTTGAATATTCTTTACTGATTTCAGACGAAGCGAAATGGACTTCAAAGTAGCCATGTTACGGTTCTGCTGGTGGTTGACCACCATGGTCACCTGGGCGCAGACACCCGGAGCTACGCGGCCTAACATTTTAACTCTGAAATTTACAATCAGATGATAAGCTAATGCAGGTTATGTGATGTTATGTAAGAGGATTACACTTAATGCCGACATCTACACATGTATATTTATAGTCATATCAACGAAAAATACCATTAAAGAACTTAAAACACTGTCAATTAAATAATAACTACTAACTTTTCTTTGATTTTCTAACAAAAATTTATCACCAGTCCAAGAAAATGTAGCTGGTCGGAAAGATGGATATTGGACAAACGGTGACGTTTTAATTAAAGTGTTGCCAGTTGCAGCCTGTAATGCCCTAATTTTTATCAATATCTGTGATATATTATATGCCTCTGGAACACTCTAAAATATTAAATTAGGCAAGTCCTGAAGGTCATATTTTTATTTGATATTTCACCCGTTGGTGTTTTTATTGTGCAATGACGCCTGACATTCCAATTTAAATTATATAGTGCAAAAAACCATGATAATGTATCGTGAAGCACTAAAGTAGTGGTATTCTAAATCATTAAGTGTTAGTCGGTGACTAAAACTGGAAAAGTAAGAACTGAAAATCATAGAGTTTATTATATTTAGGATAAGCAATAAATCAGGCAATTTAGTATTATACTCAATGTAAAGTCAATTATCATTTATTATGACAATTGACAATACAACAAATTGACGTACTGACTATCATGAATTATTCACGCTGATAAATTTGACACATTTTTAACTTCAAAGCAAATAAATTTTTTGTTTATTAAATTGCCGTGAACAACTGAACACTCAGTGTTTCTATTTTCCTACTCAAACATTTATAGACCTGCGATAAAAAATATATATATAAGAAGAAAGCCTACTACTGCAGAAATTTATATACTGAACTACTACTCCTTTTAACTTTACAGTTGCTTAAACGTACCTTACATTGACAAAAGATGGTCAAAATTAATATGCCAGAACAAGAAGAGAAGGCACAAAATGAACAACAAAATAATGCGGAAGTACCTGTTCGAGAAAGAACACAAACTGACGACTTAAACAAGAAGTTATTAACATCATTGTTTAATCGAATGAATGAAGGTGATAGTATGTTGTCAAAAATGCTTGAGCCAGATAATGAGAGCGAAGAAAATGAGGAATGGAAGTAATGTTTTGGTAATTTGTTTTACGAGAAATTGTGCTATGTAATTTTGTAATAAATGTGCACCAATGAAGCTTAAATTTAACTGTTTACAATCATTTATTCATAATAAGGTATTTATTCATAAACAGAGTATTTTTTTTATAAATAAGCTGTTTTTAAATGATATGTTCCTTCCTATATATTATTGATGGTTCCTTCTCTCCATACTACATCCCTATACTTTATTGCAGTCTTCAATTATAAAAACATGAAATACAATTATTTGCATTTATTTGTTCATTAATACAATAATGTACATACAGAATTAATAGTTTTATATAGGCAAACTAAGTAAAATAGGCATATACTCCTATAATTTAAATTTATTACTTATCTAAAACTTATAGCTTGATAGTCCTCTAAATAATATAAAAAAATAAGGGAAAAAAAGGGAGAAGGGAAAAAAAAAAAAAAAAAAAAATAAAAAAAGGAAATAATTCCATTTATTGTTTTCTTTAAATTTTACAGGCCTGAAGCACTTTTAATAAGTGTCTGTCCCATCTTATTTATGGTATTTTCTTCATCACAAGTAACACTAACTATAATATGTATATTTATTAGTCACACATTCAAGTGTAATTTATGAATCATAAATGCATAGAAAATTTCTGATACATAGTCATTTTTCCTCATACATGATGATATGAGGAAAAATGACTATTTTAAGTTTACGGTCATGTTTTTGACTAGTTGTTTGTTGAAACAAAGATGGTAATGGTAAATAAAACCCAACAACAAACAGTAACTTGAATAATATTTATTATTTACTACACAAGTTTTATGAGGAATGTTCTTATTTACAGTTTTGCATTATACCAATATAATTTATTGAACATTATATTACATTTAGTAACAGTTGTTATATCTACTCTAATAACGCAACATAATACTGAAAAAACAAAATTGTTGCGTTTTTTTCATTCCTGAAGCAATAAATGGCAACATTATAAATAAAAATTTAATATAAATAAACAACCTGCTTCGATATTTGATTTGCATAGAAAAATATAATTGGAATAAAATTTATCAATGACTAACCAATAGGTTTAGAATGTATAACAATTATTTTTATTGTACAAGGCGATATTGCAGCTAGTTGTCAAAACAACGGTCACGCACAGAACTTGGTAACAGTACCTGCAACAAAATGAACAATTACGAAAACATACACTGGCTCCGCACTGAAAAAAAATAAAATGTTATTGAATGACTACAAGTCAATTAATTAGTTTACTTTGTTTTCGTCTCCATTATAAAAATAATGAGTAGGTACATAGGGATCAATTTTAAACATCTCAATGTAATACATCAAATTTAGCATTGTCTAAAATGATGTTGAGGCACTACAGTTTACATAATTATTTTAGAAATTGAAAACTTGATAAATGTTTTACCTATAACAGCCATTCAGCATCATCTCTAAGCGGTCTTTTCAATCATATCAACGTTGACTTTGTAGAACACGTATGGGAAGTAGTCAGACTGACCAAATCCAAGACCTGCTAACTCAGCACTCTGGAATTCAAAATAAATATAATTACTAAACATATATTTACAAGATTAATTATAAGATTAGTGTTCACATAATTAGTTTGTGTACACTGATTAATGTTTTTAGGACTTTTGAATAATGTCTTCATACATTTGAGTTGACTATAGGGTTTGTAGATTTTTCTATTGATTATAATTTTAGCACTTCCAACCCGTACCGGGTCTTAATTAAGCTGTGGTTTATTCATAGCCTTTTGGTTAAAGGTTTAATGTTTGTTCATCAAATATTAGGAAAGATTCTTAATTCTATTTACACTAACCTCCTGTTGCGCCCCAGAGTGGTGATGGGCAGAGTGGTCGAGATGAGCGTACAGCTGCTGTAGCACGTCACGGAGTTTCTTCATGCTCTTACGAGAAGGCACCATCACTACCGCTTGGAAGTTTACAGGGAGGCCGTATCTGGGAAACAAATTATCTCTAATATTATGTATGTTGTCTTCGGTGATATTATTTTATTTTTCCTTTTTCAAGAAAAAAATAAATGCACTAATTACATAGTTCTAATTTAAATTTTGCAACAGTCCAATAAGTAAAATATCGGTCTGACCATAACCACCAGGGACGCTGTTACAAAATTTGCTTCACAAAAAGACAAGTGACTACACACAAAGAACATTTCAATGTAAAATTATTTCACTTTCCAAAATTTGAGTGCATTGGATTCTTATACTTTGAGTAGTTTCGAGTTGATGCGCCTTCAAAGAATAAAAAAAGGGTGCGTGTACTTATGTACGCGCTTAAGTTATACTTCTTTGGCATTATTAAAAATAGTTTTTGATTGCATGCAAATAATTAATTACAATTAAATAATCAAAGACTGGAAAAGGAGTCATTATAGTCAATACAGTTCAGTTTACATTTGAAAAATTAAATAAATAAATATTTATTATTATTCCCTTACATTAAGTGTAACATCAATTCTATTATTATTCGAATGTTGTTTTTAAATTATGTCCAATGCCGTAGCATCTTCCGTGGGCAACTTCATTCTGTTAATTTTGTGTCACGGTGCGCGCGCGCATCACAATTTTTTCATAACGCGCCTAAAGAAGTATAACTTCAAAAATAGATCTTTCGAAAGCTACAAATGAAACTACTGGGTAGTCTCATTGGAATGAGTCTCTAAACAATATTAGATTAGTAGAGCTAAAGGTGTCCACTTTGCGTTAGTTTCGCTGGCTAATTCAAGCAGCTCAACATCTTACTGCATGACTCCAAAGATTAAATCAAAATACCTTAGGACGGACTCGACGAAGACACGCAATGCCTTAACGTGTATCCAGGCACAGAAGCATTCTGAGAAGTTCACTTTCAGCCAACGGACGAGAGGACCCTGGATTATTAAATTTTATTAATTAAAGTGGATTTCAAAGAATTGATTTTTATTCAAGTAAATATAATATTTAAAAAAAAATAGTTATCACTTGTTCAAAAATAAATAACTAAGAAATAATGATAAACTCCGCCAAATAGAAATTATAACAATACCTACATATTTATTATAAATATATGTCTTTTCAAATCTTCCATATGTCAAGTAGTTATTAAATATTTCACCAGGTTTTTTAAAAGAATACATATTATATATATATAGGCAGCGATTAACAATTATAATACACAGTGAGATTCAAAAACGAATGAATGACGTGATTGAGTGTGTGTGTGCGCGTCTGCGTGTGCGTGTGTGTGGGCGAGTCGTTTGTCATTGGTGAATCTTACTCTAAGGGCCGGTTTTTTGATCCGTAGTTAACTCAACTATTGGTAAAAAATCGTTACTATTAGTTAAATATCAGCAAAATGCGTTTTTTTGGTCCGTGGTAAGAGCATCCAATGGTAAAATATCTAACCATTAGTCAAAAAAGTTAACTACTCAGTATCGGAGGGTTAAAAAGATGGCCGCTGGTAATTTATATAGTAACAGCTGTTTGTCACAGAAATCAAACTATGATAAATACGTTTATTACTATCTAATGATGAATTTAAACATATTGAGATACTTTAATTAATGAGACGATGAAGAAGACGATAATATTATATGAGAATGTGTTAATGAGTGACCAAAAATATTTAGGCAATGTCATCCGCCATTAGAAACCTGGGATGATGTAGATTTTTGTCACTGTTACCCCCTATCGAAGGGAACAGTGCTCTGGATTGTTACTGAAATTGGGAATGATCTTAAACTGCCAATGAACAAGAGTATATATAGACAGCAGCTCATACCAACCTATTTTGCTTCATTACTAACTACAGAACCGCAGCCGTATATAATTAAGTATATTACTAATTCATTATGTGTTTTATTGACTTATAATTAAATAAAATACAAGAACAAGAGTATATATAGACAGCAGCTCATACAAACCTATTTTGCTTCATTACTAGCTACAGAACCGCATATAATTAAGTATATTACTAATTCATTATGTGTTTTATTGACTTATAATTAAATAAAATACAAGAACAAGAGTATATATAGACAGCAGCTCATACAAACCTATTTTGCTTCATTACTAGCTACAGAACCGCAGCAGTATATAATTAAGTATATTACTAATTCATTATGTGTTTTATTGCCTATAATATTAACTTGTAATTATTATAAGTTAATATTATAGGCAATAAAAAACATAATGAATTAGAGTTAATATTATTTATATATTACTAATAATATTAACTTATAATTATTATACGTACATACAAGTATGTACTTATACTAAAAACTACAGCTACACATTAGTTAGGGACCTATGATATTCTTTAGGGCTTTTATTACATTTGTGAGTTAGCATCTACCTACTTTATTACAAGAATTTATAAATAAAACATTTGACTTGATTAATAAACTGTTTAATTATAACTTATAACTTAAATACAAACCATTTTTATTAAAAAAACATTAAAAAATTTACATGAAACCCTAAAGTAGCAATTAAATATTTTCTAATTGTTTCTTCTTGCATTTCACCTCAATTTGATGCAACTCTTTTTGCTGCTACATATATTTATTGTGCCTTTCTTCCATCTGCTGCATCACTTTTTGGTGCACCTCCTCGTTATGCAGTATGAATTTTTGGTGGGCCTCTCATTGGTGCAGCAAATGTTTTTGATGCTCTTCCTTAGCATAATTGAACAAATCATCCTCTCTTATTTGTCTTTGTTTCAAAAACTAAATTTTTTTTTTCCGTTTTTGTGGATCATAATCCGCTTCCTTGTTTCCAAAGGGTTAAAAGATTTTTTCCTTTTGTTGTAGGACACAGCTATACAAGAATAAATATAAAAATGTGCCTACACCTTCATTAAATGTATATTAAATTTAACACTTCGGTGTCTAGACCCATCTGAGTTGAAAACGTCACAGAGATTACCAAGCTGCATCTTTTTGTAGATTGCTGCAGTGATCAGTTGTTTGCAGGTTACGACTGTGTAATCCTTGAGAAGCATCACCAGTTTGGCAGTTTCTTTTTTGGCGAAGTTAGCAGTATGGTCCCTTTAACAAAACATAAATGTATTACTTTCTATTACGAAACACAAGATAAACCGGAATAAATAACACGAAAATATGTTTGTACTTACTTATTTGACCGTTGGCTGTTTGCGGACATCGTTATTTATATATTTAAGTATCGTAAAAAGTGTAAACCGTATTAAATCACAGAAAAACAACTTTATTTATATCGTGTTATTTAGATTAATTTGACACTTCAAACTCTTCAAAGCGCAAATAGCGAATGAAGATGGCCAAAATGGATTTCATTCACTCAATATGTCTAGTGTTGTCATACAAAATAAATGTTCCCCACAAAAAAGAACCACATTTTTTGGGATGTCATTGCTCATTGCACTGGCAACAAATTGACAAATTGTTAAGTTTAACTATAGTTAAAAAAGGCATTGAAAAACGCATTTACGATTTTACCAATGGTTATTCATTTAACTATAGTTAATGTAACAAATGGTAAAACCATTTTTTTACTACGGATCAAAAAACTGGCCCTTAGTGACCTCCGGCTGCTTTGTAGTTTGTTTTATAAATATATACTTACGAACTGCTTCTTCTTGTCAGTCACCAGTTTGGTGATCTCATTCTTTCCGGCAGCGAGATCCTGCTCGTTGTACGAGAACTCGCGAACCACGAACTTACGCTCGCGGGCGTGAAGCTTGAATTCTTCCACTACCTGCAAATAAACTAATATATAATAACAATCCAATCAAAATAACTAACCAAATTATCTTTATATCAATTAATAAATTTTTTACACAAGATTTGTAACAAAACATGAATTCATACTACATATCATACTACAAATCTATGAAACTATTAGGGTATAATTTAAAAATGTTATTAAAAATATATTTTAAAGTATGTACCTTTAAATCAGAACTACATAACAAGTTTTACAATACTTTTTCTTATACATATATATTATTCGTATACGTCAATGCTATCTTTGTGTCAGCTCGGAAATTTCGAATTTTCATACAAAAATGTATCAAACTTTTTTACTACGATAGCAATTCTGCTTGAGGTACTATTCTCCTTTAAGATACATTATAGATTATTTTTGGTTAGTATTATTGCGCCGAGTTAATTTCGTACATATAAAGTAGTACTTAGAGTCGTGAATTTATAAAAATAAGCAAACCTTCTTGAAGAGTGTAACAGTGTAGAGGCCATAATCGTTATCTTGATGTATGAGCTGCGTGGAACGCGGCACTATCATGTTAGTTATCTTTTCGTAGTTCGCGATCCAGTCGTTGAACAACGACCTGGAATAAGCATACATTTGTTATATTAATAATAATAATATTAATTGGCGTTCAAATTAATTACAGTCTTATGTTCATGAAACACACAAAATATTTTTTGAAATTGAAAAATGTTTTGTTTTTTTCAATTCATACAATGAAAACAGTTAGAAGGTAGTTTGATATTGTGTTATTCATTAGAACGTGATTTTCACGTTTGTAAATATGGAATACTCACTTAGGCACAATGACAAGAAGAGTAGTCAAATATTCACTGTCCAAGATGAAGTGCTCCTTTTTCACTAGATCAGCCAGATTACGCGTCAACAAGCTGCCACTGTAAAAAAAGAAAAAAATTATAATCAAATTGGATTAATCCAACAAGAGGCCACAACAACCTTAAGAGTAGCTTTTGTATTTAATAATTGGAAAATTCTGTATTGTGACTTGTAATTTCATTATTGTTATGGACTTCTTAGAAGCCTGAAAGAGATCGCTTGTTAGCGATAAGGTACCCGACCCGTTGCCTTCTAATAATTTATGTTACCTGTTTTTATATGTACTATTAACTAAATGCTAATAAATAATTCACTTATAAAATTCTACGAAATACAAATTGGCAGTTTAGTAAAAAATAAAAAGTATAGTCAAAATTGCCTAGCTTTATCTCAAACTATTACCTATATGTCAAATTGTATGTGGTCGTCGCTGTCTGTTGATGTTATTGGTAGACAGCTTGATATATTGAATAAATTCACTATATATCTGTTAGTTTTGTTTAAATATATCCGACTCGCGTAAACCTCAGGTAATATTAAGATAGAAATTTTTAGTGATCAGAAAACCTAATATCAATGGGTTTTATTCTCGGCGATAACATTTGAAATGACACTCTCCTAATAAGTATTACGAGTCTTCATTTGTATTCTTAGCTAAAAATGAAACAGGTTCTATCGCAGTATTATCAAATATCACTGGATGGCGCAAGGACGGTTCAAATCAGGCAAGTTGGAACTGGAAGTATTGAAATGCAATATTTTAAGATTGAAATCAAAACACTCACGTTTGTTTTTTCTCTAAGTTCTGTAGGTTCCCCTTTAGAGCATTGTAGGCAGAAGACTTGACCTTTAAGTCGGCATCGATTTGACCCACCTGAAACACAAGTAATATTTTTTTAAATCTGTGGCCATAGGTCAGAATATGATAAATGCTATTTCATTACTTTACAGGACAAGCAAATAAATTAGTAAGAAATCTTGAAGGCACTATTAAAATATGAAACATTCGATATATGAATGAATGTACTTATCATTGTCTGATCTATGATCACAGAAATATATCTATATTTAAACCAGTTTAAGAGAGACACGCGCCACGATCCGTCTTTTTGTTTCACCCATCAAACTCATGATATGTTGTTATACACATGTATATATCTATTAACATTCTTTAAAAGTTAATATTTTTGTCTTGTTTTGAGTATCAAAATTATCTCAACAGAAGATGATTAACTATATAATGCTTACCTGTTTACTTATAATATCAGCGATGTTACGAAGGCTCTGTTTGATTGGGTACTTGGCCATGTCCCATTGGAAACGTGTCAAATAAGTGGGCAGGTCACCTGAAAACACCGAAAATACATTATAATTTATGAGATACAATTTGGCACAGTTGCTAAGGTTTAGAAAGATTTAAGAACTGTCAAAAATGGAATTCTACTAAGAGCTATAGGACAATTCTTTTTAAAAACGGAACAAATAGATAAGAAAGAAACCCTGCGTTAAATTTTCGAAGTGAGAAGAAGTCTCGGGAGATCCAAGAGTTCAGCGATAACCTAAGAGGGTCTTATACTTGCCCAAATAATATACTTAAGATAACGTTACGTTGTTTTAGGAACAAATTTAATTTTGATTAATTTTTTCATAGATAAATTTGTTTCCTAATCGATAATGATTAAAGGGCGATAAAGTCATTCCCATAGCGAATTTGGAATATACCGTGTACCGAGATATAGGATATACAATGGTCTGCAAGATTTGTAGGTTTGTTAAGGTTATAAAAAAATTTGACAGTTCTTAAGACTTCGTAGCTATTGGCTGTAAACTCTATCTGTTTATCATTTCAGTATTTTACCATCTTCCATAGACAAACAATGTTTTATTACAATTCTTTGAAGAATATTTTAGTGGTAGTTAATTTAATATTTCATAGCTCTATTTCCACATAGCAGGTCAAATGTTTATGAACTTGAATTGCCTTGAAAATTAGGTCATCTAACGTAGACGTGAGACCGCGTTGATCGATTCTATTCGGATAAATGACGAAGAAAAGATTCTAAACTAATAAAAAATAATCTCTAGTCATTAATCAAAAAATAATATCTAATCGAAAGGTTTTAAGAATTTTATTAGCAAATAAAAAATGGATTCCTTTCTCATACCAAAAACAATAAACCCCTGCACATATTTAACCTCCTACACCTCTGAAAATTTTAGCCACACAAAAAAAGTTTAAAACTATTTGTCTATGGAAACATCTGCACTTTATTAAGGTCTAGTTAAAAATTTAAAGCCACATTTTAAAAGGAAATAAGTCTATTTAAATCTAGATATTTGGGATAAGTGCTGAAACAAATATCAACGAAACGAAATAAGCTAACGTAAAACAGTAAGATAATAGTACCATGCAAAACATTCCTATTACTACGCTACATATCTCTCAATGCACAATTTAAGGAACGACAAACATGCAATATTGTTTCTTAAAGGGTTGCTTACAAAAGTCCTCTTAGTAGTAAAGTTGTACGGCAGCAAGTATGCTACGAATCAATGGTGTATATAAAACTTCCCTAATAGAATGCCTTTGTTTGCTAATAAAGAATGTTACTGGTAAGGGCAGCCTTAAACGTATGAAAGCTACTTTTAATGAAAAAATTGAGTCAATGTGCCAAAAAAAGAAAATCAAAAATAATATCACAAACTTTGAACTTATTTGTCAAAATTTCACATGTAATTCTAAATTTAAAATTGTAAACCGATCACGAGTTGGTCATTCAATTAAAAAAACATGCAATGTCTTTCATTAAGTAATTGAGCATTCTTATCATAGATATAGTGATTCTTAACGACAATATAGAACACTAGAATAGAACCTGACGTACAAATCCGTAAAGTATATTTTAAATAAATAGGAAACGTATTTCATATATTTTACAAATATATTGATTAAGAATAATCTCAGAGTAACATAGGCTATAACTTCCAAAATATTTAAAGTAAATGTGCCGCCGTGGTATCCAGGACAGGACGTGACTTTTTGAAATATATAGAGCAATGTGTTTATCTTAATATATATAAATTACGTGTCACGTTGTTTGTCCGCTATGGACTCCTAAACTACCGAACCGATATCAATCAAATTTGCACAACGTGCGTAGTTTGATCCAACTTAAAAGATAGGATAGCTTACATCTCAATTTATACCCGCAATATTATTTTATTGCAAAATATTTGTTTATTATTTGATAGTCACAATTCTAACACATGGCGCTGTGTTGAAAGTACCAACGTTTCACATACGCTACAATTTAATGGCTTAACCACCAAAGAAGCATGACTGGTGTTCTCCTACCGGTTCCCTTGAATAGTTTACTACTATTTAATATAACAAAAACCTTAGCCTCAGCAACGCGTGGCCCGGTCTGCTAGTGTAATATATCTTTAACATATTACAAGTTATAAACTTGTAATAAAACTGTTGTGAATTTAATTTTAACGTTCAGAGATGAAACGATCGGTCAACGATACAAATAAACACATAAATCGTGCAACATGCAATCACTTATTAGGAATGCATTTTCTTTTCATATATATTACGATAAATGTGAAAATTATTGATAATTACCTCATGGTATAGTAAATGTAAAAATAAAATTCAAATTCATCGCTTTTTGCAGTTATTAATAACTTAGTTCTCTAGTTGGTAACAGTAACAATAATAATTTCAAGTTAACGTTCTTCAGATAGCTGAGTGGCGCCCCTATTGGGTGTTTTGGCCGGTAGGAAAGCCCTTCAGGACAAAGGAACTTTCTTGTTTGTTGATAGTAATCTTTCTTGTACGATCACTAAACAAATAACATAAAATGGAAATATAGTTACCTTGAGTAAGTTTACTAACCCGTCTGATACATTTTAATATTTGTTTGATTAAAAGGTTAACCCAGAGTTTTTCAAAATAAAATCACATACATATTATGATCTAAGTGGACCTGTGATGTTTAATGGAGACTGTTTTTGTAATACCCAGCGAGTTTAACACAGTTGAAATAACTTACGTTTCTTAATTTATATTGTTTGACATCTGGTTATAAAATAACGAAGTTTACCTTATTTGTATAGTTAAATAAATAAAAAGCAAAATAAAAATAAGAAGCAACGCATTGATTTGCAAACGGGATTATTTATTACATAGCATTTTCTAGCTTACAATATAATTAGCTCACTACTCGGTAATATCTAAAAATACGTAAGTATTGCATACTTAATAATGCAACTTATTCGTATTTTAAAATATTTACCAATACATTGTGATAGCCAAGCGATTATGCGTTGGACACGAACAACAAAGTGATATTAGGTCGCCTAGCTTACTTGCGTCACCCTAAATTTAAAAATGTTTTACGAGACTTCAAATTCAGGATGGCGCTTAATCGACACTAGCGCCACCTGCTGATGAAATTATAATCGCAATCACTGCCTCCAGAATACCTAAGCTCCAAGACAGGCAGCGCCAGTTACAAGGTAAACTAGCATTACGCCTACCAGGGCGTTATTGGTATTTGAGACTCGATTTATTATGTTTGGGCCAGAGGCGGATAGACAGGTTTATCCAGCGAGACACAAATTCGTTATCTTGTGAATGACACAATTTTCGAAAAGTATGATAACAGGTCACCTGGACACCGTCACAGTTTTTAAGCTCCTGGTGCGTCAGGTGACCCAGATCCCGGCTTCTACCGGAGTTTCTTCGCGGGCAAGGTTTAAAGGACTGAAATCTCTGATCCCGTATCCGCGTCCGGCCGCAGGAAAGCCTCAAATGCCAAACAGGATCAGGACGGTATCCTAAACCTTGGTTCAAGATGTGGTGGCGATCCTCTTCGTCATCGTCCCAGCGCGGGGAGCTTCGGCCACTGGACGGCTGTGAGTGTGTGGCACACTCCGAGAGCTCACGATGTTCGCAGGGCCAGCACCCATGGTGCTCAGAGAAGGCGGAATCGCAAATGGGCGACGTCGGTGTAGGCGGGGGTTCCCCGCCTCCTGGGTCGCCATACGAGTCCACGCCTGCAGCCGGCACGTAACATGCGCTTGCCTCTTTTATTTTGCTTTTAGTTATATTAAAAATCTTTCCGAGCGATTGTACTAACTCTGCAAAATACGCAGAGTGATACCTCGTAAATGGATTGCCTCGTTTAGGTTGGTTAGGACAGGAATTAAAAATAAAATTAAATAAATAGTAATAATAAAAATAAGAAGCACGAAGCATGAACATTATGGAAGCTCGGAATGGCTAAGCTATGAATGTCTGTGAGGCAGTGATTGCGATCTGTGGTACATTTTGCATTACCGTGGTGCAAATGTACTTACACTGTGTATTACAATTCTTCGACGGACAACAATAATTGTATGACACAACCTTATCTGCCTATGTGACCCTTACGTAAAACAATTTTTTCTCATACACGAAAATAACCCGATAAAAGATTACACAATCATTTATTATCAGTTTGATGCTAGTCTTAAGCCGAGAGTATCCTTACAATTTGTTACATATTGAAAACCTCGTCTAATATTACAATAAAGTTATTCGAAGCAACTTACAAGCATTCTTCGGTAAAGCCTGTTGTCTACATATTATTTAAATAAAACATTATTGTATACGTATTTATTATAAGCATTAACTTAATTGAAATAAGCTCTATTACATATTACACCCCAATACATACATTTACAATAATTACTCACTTCCGCAAACTTTTTTCCATTTCTCAGACACTGAAATGCAATGACAGAGCTAGCATTCTCAATCTAAAACATTCCTTAACATAACTCGCCTAATGTAATGAAACTGCTATAAACAAATACGTGTAAAAATAAATTATCAAAAGTGGCCAGTCCCAGTACACTACCGACGTAAGCAGAGAACAATAACATTTAAATGGTGCAATTTACTTCATATATACACAGGGATGCAAAACTGGTTCGAAACAGTCGTATGGAGACGAACCATAACTATACACTGTTCACTGAGCATTCTTAGCTTCAACATCAATGAATTTTTAATGTAATTTAAAAATCCATTGCTTACTAATTTAGTGCGAAATATATTTGGAAATGGGATTATGTAAAATACATAAATATTTAGAAAATGGTAATATATAGAAAATGTTTAAACTGCGAATAATATAAGAGAACACCGTATCGGTAATAAAATAAATATACATGCAAATAAAAATAAAAAGAGTTAAATAAAATTAAACTTGAAGACGGAAACTGAACATGCTTAAATGTTTCGCACTTTCCTGTGCTTTTATGATCTATTTATTATCATTCCTATTTTATTAGATTATTTATTCATGCCGAATTCGCCCTTTTTATACAGCTTTAAGATCTATTATCCCACGCATGCTTTAATATGTCTAAAATAGTAATCTTTCTCATGCAATTGCCCTGGATCTTCCTAAAGTTCAAAAATGGCACTAAACACCTATTAACGTTAACTATAATCTGATAAAATGAATTGATTGTTTTGTGCCAAGTACAAAATGACTGATAAAAAAAAGTACTTACTATTATTTGCCATGAGGTTTTCATGAAGTTTGTCGCGTTGATCTTCAAGTACCTGAAATTCATGCATAAATACAATTAAACTGCCAATATAAATATTTATTAGTAGCTTGGAAAGATTTGATGGTAAAAATATAATTTTAATACTACTTACTACTTGTGTATGCTATTCAATGCATAATATATATTATAAAGACATAAATAAAATTAAATTTATGAAACACCTAATGGTTGTGACACATTTAAAAAAGCCATACAAACTATGGTAAAAGAAATATAAGTATAATCATAATAATACAGTGGCACTACAACCTGATATGGGTCTTGGCTTCAGATTGTATCTGTTACTTAGATCAGTTTTTTAATAGACAATTATAATGTATGAGGTACCTAAATTTTATGTCGTTAAATAAACTGATCACTATATACAGGAGCATTAATAATTATTGTCTGTTGTATTGTTTAAAAACAACTTTGAATACTTTGTCAGGATTTCAATGACACAAATATTTTAGATTTATTTTATTTTGATGGCGCACAGTCTGACACATTTATATTTATTTATTTATACATATTTTTTATTGGACTCAAATTTCTATGTCCAAGTTCCTTATACTAAGAGTAATTTTCTGCATAGGCAAAAATTGTTTATTAAGTTTGGTAGAATATTACTTACCTCACCAAGGTATTGTGCGACCTTCCTGGTCACACTTTCAACAAAGGTGTCCAGCTTTCCAAGGTCATCGGACAACCCCACCAACTGATCCAAAGTTCCAACCTAGATAACATTTATAATTTCACCACTAAAATTATTTAGGTCAATTATAATATCTTAAAATAATACAATAAATAATAAGCATAATTATTCATTAAAAAATAAAGTTCAGGGCAAATACTGTTAACATATTATTTTTAATACAAAATGCATAGATTTCATATTTTTAAATTACAAGAATCTAGTTTTCATTAGAGCCAAACATTGAAATATCAAGGTAACAGACCAATTAAGAGAGATAAACATAATTCTTTATATACTATATAATTTTATGAGGAAAATATATGTATATGTTTACGCTATCCATTTTTAAAATCAGTCCACATACCCGTTGGTCTACTTTTGTATTTTCACCCCTACCATATTTATTTTGTAACATTTATATAAAAAGTCATCCTTATCAACTTAAAAGGTCTAAAACATTTAATTAATTGCAGGTGGACCATACCAAGTTACATTTATATACTCACCTTTAGGTCAGGAATTGGGAATTTATAGTTGGCACTAAGGTTGCCAGATTTGGTGGCATTGTTCAGGGTATCCCATGTTTGTTGGCAGGTTTTGTCGCCAGGGGCACTGATCACCCAATATTCACTCATCCTGAATCACTAAAAATATGACAATGATTTATTTATCTAACACTGAATATGAAGCGAAATAAACAATCTTATATACTAATTAACTGTTATAGTAAATGTAGTATATCAATTATTTTAAGACACCACCAATTGTGTGAAAAATCGATTTTCAGTGTTCATCTTCCAAGACTGAGCAACGTTCTGTTGTATTCGCCTAAATTCTTTCGACGGGCTCTGGAGTGAATCAATAATAGCTCCAGGTTTATGGCGCCCACTCAGTCGTCAGACATCCCGGCGCCGTATTAACATAGCTGAAGAAATACACCCCAAAACCACCCCTAAACACCCCATGACTTCAATCTACTTTGACAAACTAAAGTAGCGCGTAAAACTGTCTCAAGCGTTCAAGATTCTGGCATTACGTTTATTAATAACATATTACTTACCGACAAAGTAATTTTTATTGCTGTTTTACACTAAATATTCCAAACAGCAGTTTTTTGGTGAAATCACAAGACGATACGGGACTAGCCCTACAACACCGCCATGAAAATTCACGTGATGATGTGCTGCCATCTGGAGCAACCAATTCAGTTGGACAGCTGATTTACGTCAGTTGTCTATGGATACAATGAAAATCGTTGTTTTTAGTGATGTCAACAAAATTGCTTCATGGAGCTTGGGACACTCACTTTTTGAGAGGTGTGATACTACCTCTAAAAAAATTGTATGGGAATGACTTATGACATATCACATAAGTCATAACTCAGTTACTCTGTACTCACCCTTTGTCCCATTGAACGTTTGCCTCCTATTTGTGTGATAACCTAATTAACATCTTGGCGGTTATAAAATATTTTTAAAACTGACTTGAAAAAAAGGAGTTTATCAGATTTAATTTTGATAAAATTTGAATGAATTTTTCAAATTCCAAACGATCCAATTCAGAGTAAAGTCCAAGTTTCATCAAAATTGTTTATTATTCTTAATTGCAAATCCACGATTTTTTTCTTTATTGGCCGGTTTTTCAGTTTTTACTTTTTACTATCATTTTCCATTACTTCGAGTCAAACGAAGTGGTTGTGTTTCGTATTAGCACAGTAAATCGTCAATATAATGCACTCACTGTATTTATTCTTATACAATATATCCTAAAAAGAGTTAAAACTTGTTGAGGATTATTATTTAAAAAAATCAACTAATACACAATACCAAAAAAGTAAGATACTCCATTTCTGTATTTGAGTTGACGGTGAACATGGTAGGTTTTAATTTCACCGTTAGTTCACAGGTTTCATGTTATTTGAAAGTTTACAACTAAATAGTTAATTGGTTTATTCTATGACAACCTTAGTTTATTGGGTTTGGCTTATTCAAATATATTTTAGTGTTATTTTTTCAGAAACTATGCATTAAAACATACTGAGAACCGTTCACTTGCCTCCATCAACCGTACAGGTGTACAATCGTACCTGTGCTGCGTTTCGGTGATCCTTAATATTGTAAGGTCGGTATGTCTCTTATGCCTAGTCTTTTTGCTCTGAGAAGGTCATTCTCGTATTATCGTACAACAAAAGGTTATTAATAAGACTTATATCGCCCGTTATTAATAATTTAAAATTTAAATCCATCAACCGTAAAGTCAATCGCAGCTGTGATTGTTTCGGTGATCCTTAACTTGGTAAAGTCTGTATGTCTCTTGTGCCTAGTCTTTTTGTCTCTGTGGAGTTCATAAACTCCAAAAAAAAAATATTATCGTACCAGCAGGTCATAAAATCCCCAAGAAAAAAATTGTATTATCGTTCATGGTCAATAATCAACAAATTACAAAATGCGAATTTTCAATTTTTTATCAAAAAAAGTTGGAGATTTAACTCTGAAATATTCGAATCTTCCAGAATCCTACGTTAAAAGAAGTTATGAACAAGTAAGTATAACATTCCCCATAAATACAGAATTGTTTGGAATATCATTAAATAACCTCTAACGTGAAAATTACAAAATTGTTAAAGGTTTACTGGAAAACTCCTAAAGGTCATCCCCAATACACTGATGCACAAGTAGCACGTAAAAGCTACCGTTTTACCACATATCGACCGTGGACAGTACAATTCGCGCGACAGAATGAACGCGGCACTAGAAGAAAAAAAGTTTTTATAGAGCCAATTGGGGAGTGGAGCTTTTTCAAGTGTGTATACAAAAATCTTTAAATACATTACCTTAATAAGCAAATAATAAAAAGTTATGTTATATAATGTAAAAATTGGTGCATTATTGTAACATTTCAAGACATTTATTATACAATTTCAGGGGTGATCGAGTTGAGATTATGGTTGGCAGGGATAAAGGAAAGCAAGGAATTGTCATGCAAGTAATACAAGAAAGAAATTGGGTTATTGTTGAAGGGCTTAATACAAACCTAAGAGTTGTAAGTTGAGAAAAAATATTCATAATTTATAGAAAATATTCTAGATACTATCTCATGTTCACACAGTAACACAGTGGTGCGTTTAAGTAGCCAGTAGAAGATTGATTGCCTAATTTGAAGCCATTATATGGTTACTGTATTTCAGGTTTCAAAGAGCTGTTGATGTAATTTGTAAATAATTATATATTTTAGGTGGGAAAAGACAAAGACTTTCCAGGTATAGTGGTACAATCAGAGGCACCACTTTTAGTCACTACTGATGTCAAACTGGTTGATCCTGAGAGCCTGAAAGCGACAGAAATTGAATGGAGATACACTGAAGATGGAGAAAAGGTTTGTACTTGAAAAGCATTTAATAGTTTATAATTACTTTAACACATCGTTTTCTGTTATTCATTATTTTCATTGTAATTAGTGATGGGTCCTGTTAAACTACATATGTTGCATGATGAAATTACTGTTAAAAACATTGATTTAGCAAAAAGAACTTATGTTCAGAACCTACAATCTAATAGCATAATCTAGATCACTCTAAAGTGTTAAGTTTTTAAATGGTTTGACAAAGTTAAAAATGTATGTTTTGTTATAGGTCCGTGTGTCAAAATCAAGTAGTAGAATTATACCAATACCAAAGTCAGCCGAGGAAACCATAGATTACAAAAGCAAGATGCTCTACATAGAGAACCCCGATAAAGACACCGTTGCTGATGATGCTGCTAAGGTATATATGTACTAGAATAATTATGTAAATATTAAAAAAAACAGTGGCGCTACAACCTTTCAGGCTCCAGTGCCTGACACACGCCGTCAAATTTTTGGGTCTTAGACATGTCGGTTTCCTCACGATGTTTTCCTTCACCGTTCGAGCGAATGTTAAGCGCACATAGAAAGAAAGTACATTGGTGCACAGCCGGGGATCGAACCTATGACCTCAGTGCTGAGAGTCGCATGTTGAAGCCACTAGACCAACACTGCTCAATTATGTAAATACATATATGTAATATTATACAAATGACTTTTTCTGGCAATAACATAGCTACAACTTATTGTAGAGTTTGCAATAGGATTGTCATTTTTTTCCAGGTCATCATAGTGAAATTATCGTACAATATTTATTCTGAATAGCATTAAATCAATTGCATCACTTATGTATTAACATATTTTAATGATGTGATGAGATTTTTTGTTTGTATTAAACAATAATTGCTAAAAAAATACAAGCAAACTTATTAATTTAAATTTATTCTTCTAGATCACATTTTCACCAAAACTTCAAACATTTGAAATGGACGTAATGGAAAGTATGGGTATTAAGGAGGATCGGGTTCCTGCGAAATCTTATTGGTATTAAATAAAGTAGAATATTTTTAGTTATATTGTATGTGAATATAAATACATAGTTACTTCATTCCTGGTGTTATTTATTTCAGTTTTTAAATAATTATTTAAATAAATATGTTTAATTAATAAATCACCAAAACGATTATATAGAACCTCTTGTCAACTATGATTATTTATGCATGTGATTTTTCTTTACATTGCCTTATTTTTGTTATCTCATTTGAAATACTTAACTAAATGATTCTGAGGGATTCAGTTGATTTACAGAGTACATCTTAAACCTAACATATACATAAAATGTATGTTTAATAATATGCTCTTTATGGTTCTCAATCTCAGATTCATTGCGATTCTTTGATATTTTTTTTTCTTTTTATTGGCATGTATAGTGATCAGCTTTATGTAATTGACACGTTTTTGGGTTTAAAATATGCCGCCACCTCCTCAGTACCGCCATAGTGTTGAGCACCAAGATATTTATAACCATTTGGCATTCCTTCACTCAGGGCTAACCCGGCCCATTGATCAACAGTTTGATAATATTAAAGCTATAACTACGACAAATGATTTAATATACGAGATAATAATTTTGCTACTTAATAATATTATTAGTGTAGTGTTTACAAGCAGAACATAATATTTTGCTATTTTATCATGTTTTTGTTTAGATAATTGCGAGCGTTCACGTCAAGATACCAGAACGGGAAAATATTTTTGATTCGGGCGAACTATTTTGCAAGAAGCAATGGAATGACAACTAGTTACGTATACTGTGCGTGTTTAAAGGGATTCAGATTCTGTAGTAAGAGTTAAAAACGTATGTTTGTAGTACATATAACGTAAAATCAAATAATTCGCCACCGAGGTCCTGTGCGTTATGGAGCACAACTTTACTTGGAACCTTCAGCGCACCTTCGTAATCGGGATTAGGTCACGGAAAAGAGAGGGAAATTGGTATTGGAATTAGTGTTTCGTTGACACAATTTTACTATGTGTATGCTTAAATTTAAAATAAATCGCGTTTGTTTGTAGCATTATTAGAATTATGATTTCAAAACAGACATGAAAATAAGTTGCACGCACACGAACTCGCCGTAATTGAGTAGTTTAATATAAATAGGAAACCAACAAGTTGATGTAATTTCTGTCTTAAACGGCAAGTTTGTTTTATCTTATCTTATCGATCGTATGATCGCTTCCAATTTTAATTTATGAGCCCAGTAATTTAAGTATTATATTGTTATATTTTTATAGGTGTGCAAAAAGGACACCATAGATAGCTTGCCACAAGCGTGGTCCGCTATCCATATAATAATCGCAGTGGTATTGGTTAAGCTAGCTCTTTACAAAGTTCGACTGACGAGTGGACCATAAATAGATCTTTGGCTCAGTAGGTGATTAGCCTTCTGGGTTTGACTCATGTCAGCGATTTTTGGGTGCCGGTTTCCTCGCCTTCACCGTAAGTGTAAGCGCACATAGAAACAAAATTCACATTTGGTGTACAGCCATGGTTCGAATGTAGGACCTCAGTCGCCCACTTAAGCCGCTAGGCAACACTGCACTGCTCATGATAGATGGATTACACCTTTCGTAAAATGGCCCGAAATATATCGCAAAATTACTCTTGCCGTACACGACAAAATTTATGGCTCTAAAATTTTATTGCTGTAGTAAAAATAAATAATAAGTATCATATATTTTATTATATTTTTAAATTATATTATATATTCTTATTACTACTTATATTATATACTTATTATATATTCTTATTTTTAAATAATTATATGTAATTATATTTAACCATATTGTATATATGGCGATAAAGTCTTGAATTTTGAAACTAGGAAGCAAGAGCAGTACATAAATAAATATTAACTATGCATTCGCCTTTCGTACTCTTTCCTACTGTTGATGTAGTGAAATTATTTTAATTTACGTAAAAACAATTATGACCTACCTCTATCGGTCATCATACGGAAACTATAAGTATAAACACGCTGATAATTCATGACATAATCTAAGTAATATAATTCGATATCACAATATGATAGACACTCGGATACCATTTGTTTGTTGGAAATTTGGTATAATTTCTGTTCACGACTTAAGGTCGTATGTCATCCAGATGGGGCAGAAGGCATCCAGTGTAGAAAACCAGCCTGATCGATCGTGGGCAAATATCTTAATTTCAGCTTCCATCGGCTCTGCAATGATGCTTCGTTGCCAGGTCTGTTTTGGGCTACCACGTTTCCTTTTGCCTGGCTTGGCAATGTGAGTTTGATCCGGAGTGTATGGCCCATCCACTTCCACTTTCGGCGTTTTATAGTCCTGTAAAATAAATCTCTAATCATCAGCTTATGAAGATTCTCTCGGGCCAGAGCTGATGATGGAGCTATGCAATTAGGTGCCAATTTACAGGACTATAAAACGCCGAAAGTGGAAGTGGATGGGCCATATCTTCTGATCATACTTCGTGTTAATATAAAATTACCGTTTCAACCTTACACGTAAATTATTAATAAACGGCAATTGTTGCGGTTAGATTTCCCGCCATTTCATAGTAGAATTTGCAATGTATTGCAGTTACAATAACGTCAATGTTACCAAAATTATTAATATGTACAATGCATTTACATAGTTACCCAGAAATATTAAGGGGTAATTAGGTACTGTAAGTATATACCTAAGTAAGTATTGGCTTTCCTATTATATCCTGAAAATGTACAATAAGGTAAAAATTTGTAGTGACGGCCATTCTTAAAGCAATTATCGTCTAAGCTTATTCATGGATAATAATATAACTAGTGCCTAAATAGTCAGGATTAAGCACTGCGCGCCGCGCACGCATGAGCCGATTCGTATTTGTGTTTTGTAGCAGTGCGGGGCGGCCGTGTTAAAATGAGCTCCTTTTTATTAAATATTTTATTATTATTTATCTGTGGTCAGATGGTTATGTGCCAGGTAAGACAATTATTTTTATTAGACGATTAAAGAACATGATACTTTCAGTCTAAGATTTTTAACGTTTGATTAACAACAATTGAAGTTTAAATGTTTTTATCCCTTTGAAGTTAGTTATAAATTCGTAATGTAGCTTGTACGTAAGCACGAACCTCTATGCACAGATACATTACTGTATAATAGAATTGTAATAATTTAGAATATTAAATCGAATACAATTACGGTGAGATTTAGAAACGAGACTTATCGCGAACTGTGACTCCGTATGTCAAAATACTTTTTGTCGTACGGGAGTTGGACGGAATCTTGCCCTTAGGTACAACAACTAACCATAGAATTAAAATATTTTAAACATAAAATAAATGAAGTTTTTGCAAAAAGAAAATACATTATTCAAGTTAATTGCTTGACTACTTGCGTCAGTGAGAAGAAAAAAAAACAATTTCAAAATGAAATTTTATACTCAAGGTAATTACTTTGCACATAAAAATTTATTAACTATATAAGAACTATAAAATAAAAATTAATACCGTAAAATAAAGGTGTTCGGTACAACGTAAGTCGTAAAATATCAATACCGCACGAGTACTCGAAATTTAACTACTTATTAAAAATGTAGGTTCATGTACATGTAACAGATGATACAGATTTAAGAAATATTTATTTTTGTTTTTCGCAAGAAGTTTACCGAAATTTGGCAATGTTTTACTGAAATACTTACATCAGACATTTACTAAAATTAGACTCTTCCTTATACATATTAAACAAAAACATTGTTCCTCAAAGATTTGTAGGTATTTCTCAGTCTTAGTACAATAGCTACTCATATGAATGCATGTGAGTACGTGACGCTGCGCTCGCGCTGGTCCCTTTTAAAAACGAAGGGTCGGATAGATAATGTAGTATTTTTCCTACTTATATCGGAAAGAGAAATCACGCGTGAGATAAGTGATGTACAAATTCAGCTGCATATATTGTTTATATTTGATAACTTGTCTGTTTCTGATGCTATACTTACCTACAAAACGATTAAACCCTCCAATTTGTGGTATGAAAATTGTTTTGGAAATAAAAGAAGGGTTCATGTTTTCATTTGCTATATTTGCACAGACTATAAGTACCCTCAATTCAATCCTATTATATTAAGCATAAGGACCCTATATATGAAGTTGAGTTGAGCGAAACCGCGGGCGGAAGTAATCAATATAAAATTAGTATGGAGATAACTACATTCTGATTTCTGGAAGTTTTTTTAACTAATAGTAATTTTGTTTTAGGATGTCTACAGAGCAGCAATAATAGGCAACGGGAAACCACACACTAAAAACTATGCATCTCTTATACATGAAGCGGCCAAATTGGTAACATTTAAAAAAATTAAGACACCTAAAAAAACTGCTACAACCTTCTACGTTGGCTCGGCCTCAGATTTTTGTATCTGTTTCGTGATCATTTACTTTTCTTAATAGGCAAGTAGAGTAGGTGATCAACGTGGCACATGCCGTGACTTTTTTGGGACCTTCACCGTATGAGCCAGTGATGAATACGCACATTAACCGAAAAACCATTGGTAGCAATTGGGATCGAACCTACGACTTAAGGGATGAGAGTCGCACGGCTAACATTGCTCTTTTAATTTATAGCTTATGTTTTAAACATTTTGCAGGCATAACAAATCGATATGTTCGCGACTTTTTTACCTATTGAGAACTTCTCAGATGAAAGTTATGTTGTACCTAATTGAGATTAATATTTATCAAGAAATAAACACTTAAACAAACACACTGAACTAAAACACTGTTCTGACTGTTGTCTCTTTCTAGCACTGCTCTATTTGGAGTTGACGGGAAAGAGACAGTTTACTTCATTTGTTACGAAACTGATTTAGTTTTTTGAAAGATTATATTTAAGAAATTTATTGTAAATTAGAAATATATAAAGAATCTTAACATTTCAGAATGCGGATATACTTCTATTAGAAACTGTGAAGGATAAGAACTTTGAATCATGTGGCCGTTGCGATAATAATTATGATGAGGTAATGACAGTGTATACATATAAATGTATTAATTTACTATTAACTTTAATCGGATTAAATTTCAGAAAAACGTCGCCTTCAAGTTTTCAGTGTATCGTAAAAAGCGAATGACAGATGACGCATCCGAAATATTCGATAGAGAACGATACAAAAAGCTAGTCCAGAATTTAATAAAAATCATAATGGCATGCGTTGTAAACTTGAAAGCCTATTTAGACTTTTCTTTAAAAAGTTTTTCAGATATACATAATACTTAAACCAAGGTCATAATTTTTTTATCTTCAGTTGAATGAATAATATAGTCTTACCTAACTGCTAATTAAATATATCGGCTGATCTAACAATAATATTATTATAAGATCTGAACTCTAGATAGATTCCTTGTTTAGGAATATTGAATAGCTATTTAATGAAAACTATTACATTGTTACAGTAAATTACGCTTTTCTTTTTAATAAATTTTTCTTAATGTAATGAAAATATTATATTATCTTAACGTACTTACAATTCTAATGATAATTACTATCAAAATACAAAAAAATATAGATTATTATATAAAAATTATTATGTTTATTGTCATTTGTATAGCGCAAATGCCAAGGAGTTTTCATGTATTTTGGCTAGTAAAATGCCTAATGGTAATTATTATTGACACGTCTAAAATAGTAGATGCGCCATATTATTATAGCATACCTGTTAGGCGTATATGTAATTTTAATCTATGCACAATCTGTGGCAGCGCCCTCTTTTGCGCATGCGGGGTGGATATTATGGTTTTGGTTTGGCGCAATTGAAATTTGAAACGTCTAGTAGGGAATTTCGCATATAAATGTTGCTTATAAATATTTGATAGTAGTAATTGTAAAGAGAACAGTTTTTATTTACATTTTATTGATTCATGCTATGGAAAGTTTTATAACTTTTAAAAATTTTCAATTTACAATTTTAATAAATTACAGACTTGTTATTTGTCTATTTACGAAACTTATTTTTATCAAGTGTTCCCTATAAGTCTCTCTTTTCAGATAGTAAAGGCGGTTTCAACAGCTGCGAAGGAAACCGCGATCTACGTTGGAGTCCATGTATATGAAAAAATAACTTGTAATAGACATGAAGATATTGTCAGAAGTAATTTAATATTCAATAGAAATGGGGATATAATTTCTGTGTAAGTTTCTGTTCGTCTGTTATCTCTTACTTAATTAATAAATAATATTATACTTTCTCCTATCTAAACAGTGGGTAAAGCTGACCGAAAGATTTATGATAAATCACTATCGAATAATATATAATATTTAATTGATCATTTGCAGTTCCAGGAAGCCATTGAACAAAGCTAATTGCAATTCAACATATTCAAACAGTACTAGCTTTTCAACTGATTTTGGCGTCAAATTTGGAGTATTGATGGAAGAGGATATATTAAATGCTCAAGATATAAATCTTAGTAATTATATAATACTGGGTTCACGGCCTCGCAATAGTGGGAAATTACATGGTATGTGTTTTAAGATGATAATTTAAGATGGGTGAAGCTTGAAGTGAATTTCCGAATATATTAATTTCTTAGATTAAGAGATGATGTCATCGATATAAATATTGTTTCTGGAGTATTCCAATATGAAATTGGAGATTTTTTCTTTATCAAAATAACATTTATTTATTATTTGCATATATTAGATGTTACCACTAAAATAATATTTTTGTTAAAATTGTCGCGTCACCTTAAACTAACACAATACACTATAAAACGATAGAGCTTTAGTCATTTTTAACCAATTTAAAAAAAAGTACTCACGGTGTATATAAAAAAAAAGTAATAAAAATACTACTTCTCATTTCAGCATCGCAGCTTGTATCATCATGGGCATTTATTAGTAAAATTAACGTGGTTTCGACAAACGGTATTTATGGCAACACTGGAGCTGCCATGAAGTCTAACAACATTATTGTGAAGGAAATAAAAAAAAATGGAAATAGTAAGTGTTTATATTTTTTATCTATGAGGGTTAGGGTTAAAAGGTTTACACAGATTCAAAATAAGGTTTATAAAGAAAAAAAACGACGGGTTGCACTCCGGGAGTGCCGGCTGAAGTGAAAACTTGAATATTAACGTTGTGCATTTTTGATATTTTGGAATGGTTAGGGAATAATTTTGCACGAATTGCTTTAATTATCAGTATAAAAGTACAATCATTTATGTGGTAGAATACAATATTTATTTATTGCGCTATCGTACACAAACATGACAATTTATATTACATTTAATACGCCGCGCCAGCTGTCTACTCTCCATCCGTCTTACGAATTTTCGATCAGGTCACGTGTCCTGACGCGAGTTTAAAATTTTTTACCCATTCCAAAAAAAGTGTACAACGCCGCTAAAGAAGTTTTCACTTCAAAAAAATACGCTATTTTATATAGTATACTTTATTTAATTTGATTTTCGATATTCTATAAACCGCCTCACTCGTTTTTGAAAAAAATAAATTTTTAAAAATGACACTCTATTCAAAAACAATATTACAGATAAACCAAAATTACAAAGTAGTTCATATGATTTGCCTGAGTTGGCTCGCAGCGTCAAGCTGGACTTGGAACTCGCTATGCAAGGGTACAAGGAAAACGTATGCTTTGAAGAAGTTTGTTGTCATTTCTACTTAAGACTTGCGGGAAAAGGTAAATATTTCAATATATAAACACTACACTTTTTAAAAGTTTGTTCAGCCAAAAAACCGTAAAGAAAGTGTCGGAAGTGTCCTTTCTATTTTTCTCTATCACTGCTGATACAACCAGTAGTATTAGGTAATAGGTTAAAAATATATAGTGAAAAGCATCCCTCTAACGTACCTACACGGTTAGTTATTTTTAGTGTTGTAAGTATTACCTCGGCTTTGTTTTGGTTAGTATTTAAAATACTCAAACATTTAAGGTAAATTTATTTACATAACTTGAAGTTTGACACGTGTAGTAGGCAAATTAGATAGGTATTATTTAAATAGTATTACCAAATGACCTCTCTTTGGTCGGTAGCTCATGTTTGAGCGTCGAGGACAGCAAGGAAACATCTGGAGTGTTCTATCTATTTCCACCGGTTTCTGTCCAGCGCCTCTCTTCTCGTCTACTACTACAGTGCTTGGAGGACGATGAGTCTTACATTTGATTGGTCCATCTGGTTGGCTGCGTGATCTTTTGCCTTCTGTGTTACCAACCACGATCACTGATCAGTTTCTCCAAGTTCCCAAGCCTCGGCGCATGAACAGTTACGCATGACACTATAAAACGACAAGAAGTAAACTATAGCATGCAACGGGCAACATCGATAAGAAACAATCTCTTTTTAAAACAATTGTATGATGATTCTAATGTGGAGGAAAGAAAGTACTACTCCTCCTAGACTTAAAGTGAGGATCCCCGACTGCTAATCACTATTACTGGCCCGAAAGCCCTGAAGGAATAACTATCTTAGCGCGATTCAGATATATTGTAGCTGTCGGTACTCGGTCGGGATGCTTTAAATAATGCATTTATTAAAACTAATTACTAAATGCTAAATAAACTGCAATGCGTACCGATTCTTAAAAGGCCTGCAACTCACTTGCGGCCTTCTGGCAGTGTAAGTGTCCATGGGCATATCACTTAGCGGCAGGTGAGCCTCTTGTCCGTTTGCCCGCTGTTCTATATAACGAAAATTAAATAATGAAGAGAGTGCCTGTGATTACTATCGGGGCGTAACCTTGACGATTAATATACGAATAATAATACTTATTATTATTAAATATAGTGTAGAAATGCAGGGCCGCGCCGCCCATGTGTGCGAAGTGTGCGGTGCACACAGGCGCTGATACAATAAGGGCGCCGCCACCGAAATTATTTATACTACACTACAATATTCTTACGTACGTTTGAAGTTTCATTTTACGCTTTAGGTTTTAGTTTACATTAATTACTCAGAGCTTAGCGAATCAAAAGAAAGGCCGCTGGTGACCGCCGTGAGTTTTTTGAGTGTGTTTATGTCTTATGATTTCAATAATATGCCGACATACCTTGATAAAATCCAAAATGAACTATTTTTTATACTCGGTAACCAAATTCAACATTTTATTTTAAATTTATGTCGAATTAATAAATATTTTTCAATAATACTGGATTGTACTACTGACGTTTCACACGAAGAGCAAATTAGTATGATAATAAGATTTGTCAACTTTAACATGTAAACTAGAAAGTTAAGAATAAGAGAGCATTTCCTAGCTTTCCAATTTATAATAGCACTTTCTGCTCAATCGTAGATACAACTGGCGCTGGAGTAACGTCATTTATAATAGAAAAACTAAACCAAAATAATTTGGACATAAAGAACTTAAGGGGGCAAGGCTATGATAATGGCTCAAATATGCGCGGTAAGAATATTGCGGGATGTACGAGTAAATCTCCGCACTTTTTATGTCCGTGCGCCAGCCATAGTTTAAATTTAATAATAAATGACGCTGCACATCTCATACACGACTGCGTTTTTTTAATATTGTGCAAGAACTATATAAATATTTTTCGTCCTCTACTAAAAGATGGGATTTATTACAAAGATATGTCATAAATCTGACCTTAAAAACGGTTAGATAAAAATAACATCATAAATAAACTATGTAACAATTTAATTCACGTTTTATTTTTCACGGCAATTGGCCAGCGGACGTTTTACCTATTTAAGTGGATTAAACTAAAGAAAAATTTTCTTTCAGTCAAAATTAAAAAATACATTGAAACTTGAAGATTCTTAAAAAATAGGCCGAAATATAGAAGGAGTTCCCTCAAAGGCCTGCAACACACCCGCTAAAAATGTCTATGAGATTCAATGACTGCCATTTTTTTCCGTCCCTAAGGCTCGTTTGACCCCTATAGAAAAAGGAGGCGCTTCATGGGTTTCGCACACAGGCGCTGCCGGGGGTCGGCGCGGCCCTGTAGAAATGTACGGCATTGGTACATCGTACATAAATTAGTTAATTCATTTTATTATTTAAGGTAACTCGGACGTGTCATACAATATAGGAGTTCACACTGGTACAATGGACGTAGGATCACAAACAGTGGCCACTCGGGGTTGTGTCCTAGTCGCCTGCGCAGGGTCAGATCAATCTTGCTCTGTACTGTAAGTATAATTCTCTTCTTTTCGTGATCACTTACTCTCACTAACTTGCTCTTTCTGTTAAACCACCCATAGTTCTGACGCAAAACTAAATTACAACAACCACACTACAGCTAATATTATAAGCTAACGTCTGCTTGAAATATGTTTCATATTTTTTTTCGCGTCATCAGTATTGCGTACATATGTAGGCTCTGTATTTTTTATCGCATATATGATTGAGAGTGTTCTGAAAAACTGAACTACTATATATATAACTAATGTTTATCACCGCTATGACGGCCGTCTTGCAAATGACAGCACCGCTAATTGACGTTACGACGACACTCAACGTTCTCTAGGAAACCTACTCCGATGATATTTATAGACAACGTATGGGTGACGTTACCCAACGCTACATTACGGCAGTTAGATAACGGCACCGCTTTTCTAGGAAACCTAAGCTTAAGACACTGACTGCTATTACGCGTTGATCTCTAGTGATGTTTATTTTTATTTATGCAGGTCCGGAAATTCATTAGATGTCACCTTTAAAACAATCTCTATATCTAGTAACTTCAGTCAGGACTCCAAGCAGTTCCCAATTTTACAAACTACAGATGTCAAGAACATAAAATTCGACCAACAAAATGGTATAAATAACAGGCAAGTTAATATGGAAATTCATGAATGTAATAATGTATTAAATTTCGGAATAATCAGCATCGAATCGAAGCCAATTGACCGATCGAGTGAACAATTTATCGATTTCTCTTCATACATTTCGAGTGAGAATGTTCTAGAATTCTTCGATTATCTTTGGATTCGATTGCGTGTTCCTATATTTATCGTATCGATATATATATTGGAGATGATGTAAATTATATTTACTTAATATAAGTAACATTGTATGTTTATTAGAACGTTGGTTGGCATTTAATGGGGTTTTAATATTTATCAAGGGTAACGTATATTAAAATAGGAAGATATATTTATATTATAAAATAATATGAGACTGATATTATGTATTTTATAAAATGGATTGAATTATATTTATATTCAAATCTTACAGGCTTTTCTGTTGTGTAAATTTCCTATAAGTTTTTTGGACATGCTTTTATTGAACTCTATTAATTATTATTTTAAATGGAAGATAGCATTAATTTTTAATGTCCTAAACTCATATTCAAAGAGCTTTTACTGTCATGAGAGATGTCAAAAATGTCATTCTATAGATAAAGATGTAAAAAACTAGACAAATAGGTCGTAAGTGCCGGAAATATTTCAATTAACCGATCAAAGTACCTATGTAACTTAAAATTATTGGTAAAACTTAATATTTTTTAGTTTAAATAGGTATTTGCCTAATGTTATTATTATTTTAATATTAAATTTATATTAAAAAAATTATCAATTTATTTATTTTATTTAAAATTCCAATTAATTTTCGGCACGATGGTTATGACGAGACTTATTATAGCCTAGTTCACAGAGTTATTTTAAACGAATGTTAAAGTTATCTCTATTAAGTTTTTCAGATCTCTGTGATATTAAAATAATATAAATAAATGAGTTTATTAAATACGCATTTTTAATTAAACGCAAGTTCTGTTTTACATATATTTTTATACTAGCCTTATACTTTTATTCGTTGTTTATTATATTTATATTTAGAAAGAGTTCGTTTATTTTTCATTAATGCCTGTTATTTATTCTTCTGCGCACATACAACCAGTGATCTTCGTCGTCATCCATAAGAGTTTTTTCAATCCAATCCATGTAAGATTCCACCTACAAAGCAAAATTGTTATTAATTTAAGGTCATGCGCACTTCTTTATAGTTATTTCATAATTCCTATACAATTAATTTTCTCGTGAAACATTCAACATTTAAGTTCTCCAAAGCATTTCATGTCCCAAAAATGGGCTAATCTTATACTTACTAACAACGTGACCGAAGTGTGGAAGGATTTAAAAATAAATATCACTATTACCTTAGTGTAAACATCAGGTTTGCCCCTAGCACACGGAACGCCCCATGACACAACGCCGACTTGCCTTCCTTCTCGTACCAGTGGACCTCCGGAATCACCCTGTAAAAAGGTTGCTATAATTAGAATTTGTTCGTATATGCAACCATATATGCATTGTCTATTCTTCTTAGAACTCCAACACCTATGTTGCACACAATGTTTCTTAATAAACTTTCGGTGCTTTACTGAAACAGATTAGTGTTTTAGTTTAAAAGGTGTGATTAGACTGATTTTATGAATAAGAGAACAAATATTTTTTCGGATATCCACTGTTCAACAAGCTATTTCATATCGACTATGGAGGCAAGCATCACTCAGGGCTACCTACTTCTCGAAGAAAGCCAAGTTTAAGAAATTTATGCCAGTGGATAAATTCTGTCATCTTATTATACAGCATTATCGGTCTGATCTGATCTTTCTCGTACTACTTAATGTCAATAGTCTGATAATGATCTTACGTGGCAAGCACCTTCACCGGCCTTGGTGAGAGCGCATATCTGAGTGGTGAAGACTGCGTTGACAGTTTGGTGGGCTTCCTTACAGTCCTCGTAGGTAACTGCTTTTAGCTGCAGTTGCATCAGGTCATTTGGCAGATGTCCAGGGTACTACAACGTGGAGCGATGATAATGAATATATGGCTTGCAAAATGATTAAGCAATAGTAAGATAATTTTTATACATCTGTGGTGTAAAAGATTTCTGTAATTTTAAATGTTACATATTATACGTTTCCTTGGTCAACAAGATGCTTTCCATGACCACTCGCGTATAAAAAAAAAATATTTCGCTCGTACAGTTGTTTTTTCTTTGCAATTTTAAGTTTTATAAACGACACTAAATTTTCAGCATCAGGTCATTTGCGTAGCGTTCAACTGATACATAGAGTTTGTTTAATTTATGGTTTAAAATCGTCTAATATCAATTATCCTATCCGCAACAATACGGTAAGAAAAAGAGTTAATGCTTACCGATGTAGTTCCCCAACCAGTTAACAACAATTCTTCGTCCTTTTCAACCGGTTCATCGTTCAACTCTATAGCATCTACTGTACTGCTGAACGTCATCGCCTCATCAGTGAAAATAATAGCTATATCATTGATGATAAGGTCATCGTCGTATTTCTCATGTTGAACCACTTTGCGAATTTTGTAGGGTGCGCCGCCCGATCGAAGCTGGTTTGTGCCTACGATTGCTTGGAAATATTGGGGCTTAAGCCTAAAAAGAAGTATTCAGATTGTTGTGAATGTTATATGATATGATAATTCCGTTACAAATATAATGTCTGATGTAGATAGGCAATGATTAAGTTAATTAATTAAGACTTGATAATAAAACAATTTTTTACCGGATTGAAGTTACGTATTTAAAATTATTTTTCATAATTTTAAATTTAACCGACGTTTCGCGTGCTTTACAGCACAATTTAAAAATTAAATTTAATTTAATTTTTAAAATTGTTTTATTATCAAATGTGTGAAAGTTATGTCAATAAAAGACAATAAATAAGACTTTACTCAATCTAGACATTCATTTTGAAACGTTTTTGATTGGCAAATATAAGGTTCTAATAAATGGGTTTCAATTCTGGATTGAATCCTGATTGTTTAAAATTTAAATTTGTACCTATCTACACAATGAGCGGCTGTTAAAATAACTCTGGGTGTGATGATGGACGCTCCACAGAAGTGCCTCACGCCCCAAATACGGAGAGACACCTGGTAAGGGACTGATCCGTTTGGCGCTTTTGTACCGCCAACTATCCTCTCCCAGTCATCCCGTCTGTCTGATGAAAAGAATTCGGCTGATGCTGTAAATAAATGTCAAGTTACTGATATCCAGTCGTAGAAAGTCGACTTTTTATTATAATTAAACCTTATACTATTGTTGCATTATTTTATAGACGCTGGTCTCCACTAGGACATTCCTGTGCTGTGGTTAACCAGACTCTTCCGAGGCACAATAACATAACAAAAATTTTGCACTTAAAAGTATGAAGTAACCAAATGAACAGTTAAAAAAAATGTAGGTTTGAATGTTTTCGTGTCCGTGGACTTTCTCACCTCAAACCACGCAAAATTCAGAACTTTGATCTTGAAACTGTGATCGATTACCTAATACTTTTTTGTTTGAGATTCAAACCCAGAGCCGCCTACCAAACGTATTGTAAAACTCTGAGATACCGCAACTAAAATAATTTTTGAGAAGTGATCAAGATTGAAGATTTTTCCACATTATTTGGTATAACGGTATCGAGAGATTAATGTGCTAGATAGTCTAGTTTATTATGTTTTTATTTCAAGCAAAAAAGTCTTTGTCAGAAGTGGGATTCGAACCCACGCCCACAGAAGTGGACTGCGACCTGAACGCAGCGCCTTAGACCGCTCGGCCATCCTGACGTGAGTTAAAGGGGTGGAATATGTATGCAATAGCATTTAAGGGACTATACATTTAAAACTACCGTAAAAATCCTAGCACAAACGCAAGTAAGCTAACGTCAAGTATTTCGTAATAAAAAGTTACATATCGCTGATTTCTTAAGCTAATTACTCTGTTATTCAAGTCTTATTTATAAGCGTACTTGTTACTTTCTCTACCATTCAATTATTTAAGGCCCTTACTTAAGTGTAATTTGTGTAACCTTTAATTGTTTTAAAGCATTACATGATTCTCTGAGTTCTAACTTATGCCATTGTTTTACCATACCAGTTCTGAGGATTTTATTATAATATATGGAACTTTTTTATAAATTGACACAATGATATCTTTTAACTTTACGATCTAGCCTTAAGACTAATGAGTAATTTAAAATTAACCTAATAGAATGAAAAGTATATTTAACATAAAAAGTGTCGAATGACACTACTTACAGTCTCTATTAAGAGGACAATACTCGGTTCTTGTGTACTATTCTTTTGCACTTACCACTGATCCCAGAAAGGACTAAGGCCAAATGTTCTTTGTACAAAAAAAAAGGTTGCGTGTACTAATGTACGAGCGTAAGAAGTTATACTTCTTTGGCATTATTAAAAATAGTTTTTGATTGCATGCAAATAATTAATTATAATTAAATAATCAAAGACTGGAAAAGGAGTCAATATAATCAATAAAGTTCAGTTTTCATTTGAAAAATTTAATAAATAAATATTTATTATTATTCTCTTACATTAAGTGTAACATAAATTCTATTATTATTCGAATGTTGTTTTTAAATTATGTCCAATGCCGAAGCATCTTCCGTGGGCAACTTCATTCTGTTAATTTTGTGTAACGTACATCGTAAAATTTCACTCTCATCAATTTTTCATAACGCGCCTAAAGAAGTATAACTTCAAAAATCTACTCGTAGCATTTACCATAACTACTTTGGATGTAGCTGCGTCCTAACTCTGTAGCGACAGCGATTGTATGTAAGTTCGATATAGTTCTCTCATTATCCGTAGCGCTGATATCCTAACATTTGGATTGCTCGGTACAAACAATCATTATTGAAATCAGAATCGCTATCGGTAACGCTATTGGAAGTTACATAGTACTGGCTAGTAAGGGCTTTAGTTATTAATCCGAGAACTGCGGCCTAATTATAAAAGTTCTTCGTTAAGAAAAGTTAAAGTACCTACTGTTTATTTTTCTTTTGTAACTATTATTTTTACGTAGAAAAGCCGTCGTTACCATAGTAACAAATTTTATATTCACTATAAACACTTGAACATTACTTTTAATCAGACAAGCTGCTCCATATTTATGGACGTCAAATACTATTAGGTAAGTATAACTTTTTTGATTGTCAAATATAAGGTGAGAATAAACGTGTTTAAATTCTGGATTGTTTAAAATTTAAATTTGTACCT